CACACACACACACACGTGCATCAGGAACAGGGATTGATAGGACAAGAACAACCAGAGTACAGATGTATGTTTATATCTTCAGACCTCGTGGTCTCTCTGCTGCTCCACCAGACTTTGGTAGTTCCCTGAGATCTCATCAGCTAACTTCTGTTCGGTCTGAGACAGGAAGTCCATCCAGGCCTCACACTTCTGGAGGAAGCTCTGCTGCTGAAGCAACACTGCTTGCAATTTACTGAAGCGAGACAAAGGAAAACTATTTGGAAAATGCATCAGGTACTAAAGCAAAAGGAAACTGATTCAATTGAATCGAATAGATTTTTTATTGTAAATGTGCCAAAAAACAAAAAGTACATAAATGGAATAAACATTTTGAATCTCCGTACCTGAACCTCTCGGTGAGGTGAGCGCAGTGAGAAGCCCAGGCTCTGTTCAGACTCTGCAGCTGTTTAACATCTTGATCACTGACAGGAAGTCTGTACAACAACTCGTTAATGCGTTCTAGGTCGGGAGATAGACTGCTCAACTTGAGTAGGTGAAGCTGGGAAATAAAATGGGAGATAAAATATATGAGCAAATTCCACGCCAGGTCCAGAAAGTCTGCCGTGTTTTTGCACGGACAAATCGACAGTAGTACCTTTAATTTGTCCATACGTGACTGAACCACGGTGGGCTCAGGTGAGCCGAGTGAATCAGGCTCCTTCAGCACCTCCTCAGCCTCCTTAGCATTACACACCAGTATTTCCAACTGCTCCCTGAAAGTGTCACAGGACTGCGACCCAGACTATGAACAGAATAAGAAAATATAGATTAAAAAATTTAAAAAAAGTGTATGTCCATAATAGCTTTCAGAAATCCAATTTTTTTTAATTCCCTCTGATCTGTTTGAAAGAGAGGTATAAGTAAACGAAACCAAAGCCTGTTGCACTCGAGATGTTCTGGGGTTTATTTAAAAACACCAAAGGGAAGCACAGGAAAAAGTGTCCCTTACTCTTCACAGGTTGGTCTATGTACACCCTAAATACATCGTTTATTTTCTGCAAAAAAAAAGCTTCTTTCTATGTCATTCTGTCCAAACTCACACCCCCACTATCCTACCTGCAGTACTTCCTGCTGCCTATGGAGGGCATGCTCCAGCGCTGCTAATCTATGCGTGAGCGACAGGTGGTCTGACTGGAGGGCTGCGAAGGAAACGGCGTCCACTTGGCTCTTCAGCTGTTCCCCTAAAGCCTGTAGTTGCTGCAGTGATTCCTGCACAGACGCCTGTTCACCAAGACAGGCCTGCAACAGAGAAACAGTCACAGACGTTACCACACAGTTACCGCCTCTGCAGACAGACGGGGTCTTGCTCAGAGCATGACAAATTTGTTTGGCTGCGGTGAATTCTTAAAATTGCTTTTTTCTTTTAAGTTGTCAAAGCCATAGAGAAGCCTGAATTCTCAGCCACTAGACCAGCAGTTTGTCTCAGTGATTCTGAGTCAAAGTAACGGTCTGCTAGAGGTCTTAAGGAAACAAGTTCCACCGGCCCAGCATGACAACGGTAGACCCCCATAGCGTAAATCAGGGGCCTGTCTCTTCTGTTGAGGTCTTGCTTTGTTCGGCCTTTTGAGTGAATGTGCAGCACAACAATGTTCAAAGGGACAAAAAGACAGGGTGTAATTTGGTATTCTGCAGAGCAGAGAGAAGCTTTGTCAGGGAGCCGGCGAGAAACTGAGAAGCATAATACCAACAGCCACAAACGGAAAGCATTTGAAAAATTCTGCAGTCAGGGAAGACAAAAAAAACCCTCAAATGTTTCTGTCTCCACTCACATTGCAGTCTTTCATCCAAGCGTTGTTCTCCTCCTCTGTGATCTCCTTGTCAGTTGCACTCTTGAGCAGCTGATCTGCATGTTTTTCCTGCTTCTGGACTGCCGTCACACACTGACCGTACAATGTCCTGTAACGTTGCCACACTAACAACAAGGCCTTACTGCTCCTCAGCTGCTCTGAGATCTGCTCCAGTAAACCATTCCATCTGAGATTAAACAAAAAATATAGAAAGTTACACTTGGAGCTGAACTTTTTTCTACATTATCATCCACAGATAAGCGTTGCCCAAACCTGATGTTGACTTCTCGCAGGGCTCTATTGAGTGTTTCAGCCACAGACGGGTGACACTCGGTCAGTAGCTGGTACGTTACAGAGCCAAATTTCCTCAGACTGCTCTCCTGTTTGTCCATCTCTTCCTGCAGATTCTTTAAAACACAAACACAAGCTTTAAGAAACTTTTACCACGTGTTTACTCAGTTTATTCAAGTTCCAAATGACCAGGATTTTAAAAATGTTTTTAGGAACATATTGGACAGTCACATTAACAATTGTAATCCTTTCTTTTATTATTGATAATCTTCCACCTTCCTCACCTCTAAACTCTCCACCTGCTGCTGCACAGCCTCTAGAGATCCATTAAGGAGTCGTAGCCTGGACAAAGAATAAATCCCCTCCATCAGGTATCCAGTTATCTCCTCTGAAGCTCGACGGTACAGTGTCCACTGCTCCAGCACGGAACGCAGGCTGACCTTCATCTGACTTATCTAATGAAACAGAGATTTAAAATGCTGAAGTAAGGAAAAAAAGCATAGGAATAAAGGGAGTTAAGACACTGACCATTTGGTCTAAATGAGTCCAGGACTGGTTCAGCCCATTAAGGGTCTCCGTGACCACAGAACATGCTGCTCCTTTCTTATCCTGAATCAGAGTGTTTCCTCGTTCCTCTACTTTCTCTAGATCCTTCTCTTTCTCCTTCACCAATTCCTCCAACTCCTGAGAAAAATTATTTACGTTATTGATAACAAGTTAAAGACATGAACCATGTTAAAATCCTGTGAGTGACCTCACCTGACAGTCTTTGAGTGCATTCTGCACTGATGCTACGTCCTCTATCCTGTGTCTCTTCTTTAATTTCTCCTCCTGGAGTGTGAGCCAAGTCTTCAAGGCCAAGACTCCATTTTCATACTCTAACCAACCTTCTAAAAGTCCTTCCAACAACTGAATCTAAAAGACAGACAACCCTCAGTAATTTAGTAACACAGACAACGTTAATTAGGAATGTACAGCTGAATTGTGACATACTGAGACATTACCTTTTCGGCTATACGTCCCTGCAGTATCTGCCATCTTCTGTTCATTGCTCCCAGATTCTCAGCAAAGTCTGTTTTGTCGCTGCGTTTACCCTCCACGTCTTGACTGCTGATCTGCAGAACTGACTGGTTCACAAAGTCCACAGTCAGCTGCTTACAGGTCAGATCAATATGGAAACCCTGGGGAACGAGAGGTACAAAAAACCAGTGAATAAAAATGGTACCCATATTCAATTAAAAAAAAACAAGCAAACTGTGTTCTACCTTGTACTTTTGTAGAAAGTTCTGGACAACCTCAGAGCCTACAGCTCCTAGAATCTTTTCCTGGTCTTCCTCAATGATGTTCTCCATGAGGGTGATCCAGGTCATTAGCTCAGTGATGGCATGTCGTGACGCTAGCTTCTCCATTTGCAACTGAGAAAAAATTAACCAAAAAAAAAGCGTCATATTCACATACACACTTTCTAAGACTTAGCGTCATATTCACATACACACTTTCTAGGACATTGGGCTGTGCTGTTTTTTTTAATATTTTTTATTTCTCACCTGGTGCAGCTTCTCTTGTACCACAGGAATACGATTCAGTAGTTCAGCCCACTGAGTGTCAATGTGGCCCAGCGCCGTCCTCAGACTGGCTGTATCCACTCTTTTTAATCTCATCAGCTGGTTTCCTGTGCTCAGCACAGAAGAACGCAAAGACGATTTGGCATCCACTTCCTTGGAAAACTCCTTTTAAGGAAGAAAGGAAAGTTTAAAATTCAACAGTGAAGGTTAATAATAACCAAAATATTACATATATTTCAGAGTTTGTCATAATTTATTTTCATTGTTACTGATGTGATAATCCAACTGACCAGAAAGGCATGGAGGTGATCTCTGACAGTCTCCAGCTCCTGAGGAACCGTCACTGACTGAGTGGTCCAGAACTCCAGCCGATCCAGAGCAGACTTTAACCATTGGCTCAGCTCTGCTGACTCGCTCTGGTACCTGAAACAACACGCACAGAAAATGTGTGATTGACAGGATGAACTGAGATTTGTTAACTAGAACTACAGACAGATCCACACCTGCTCCAGTGTTTGAGTGTTGAGTCCAGGCGGTGGAGCTCCTTGTTGACCTTGGTGGTGGAGGACAGCCAGTGTTCTCCTAGTTGGGTCAGCTGATTCTCCAAATCTGAACAGCCAACAGACAGAAGAAGCCTTTTGCCCTCTTCCAGGACCTGGTAGAGCTGGGGCTGATGCTCAGTCAGGCTGGCTTTCAGATGCTGGAGAAGAGAAATCAAGATGGTAAATTAGGCCCTGACACTCACCACATCTAGCCATGCACCTGTCGGCCAATGTGTTTGAGAAGGTAGTTCTGCCAGGAGTTTGGAGGTATTTTAACATGTTCTGTTACAGTTTGAACAACTAATCAAAACACCTTATGACACACCTTAGCACTGAATACACTAACAGATGAGGAGCTTTGGCAAATGAATAAGGACACAAATGAAAATACTCAGTTTGTCCAAATATCATCAGGACAACATTGCAATAAAGATTGAAGTGTTTATTTCAGTCTGTTCTAAATTACTGACCTGGTAAAGACTGATCCTTTCAGTCAGTCTCTCCTCTGTCTCCTCCACCAGACCCACTGTGGGAATACTACACTCCACAGCCTCTAGCTGTCGGCACAGAGCCTGGTAGTTTTCCATTAGTCTGCTCCATGACTGTCAGACAGAACAGACAACATTAACACAACAGAATCATCCTGTCATTTTCTATTGTCATTCTTGACTCTCACCTCCAGAATCCCCTCCAGCTCCACCCCCCTCCTGTGGGCCTGTTTGAGCACACTGTGGGCTGACACCATGTTCTCCTCCAGGGCCTGGGCTTCCCTCTGAGACACTAGATGAGACACTTTGCTGAAGAAAGTCCGAGTGAGGATCATATGGCCTTCCAGACCCTGGAAGAACTCCTGCAGTGAAAAAAGCACAAATAAACATTTTAAAACACAAAATAAAAGTCAACACATATGTCATAACATTTTAAAACACAAAATAAAAGTCAAGACATATGGTTTTCTGACTTAACTGCATCACATGTTCAAACTTTTATCTTACTTTGTGTTTGTCCAGTAATATCTGGACCTCGATGACAGAGGCCACGGTCATCTTCTGGTCGGCAGCCATTTTGTCCTGAGCCGTGTCCACCAGGTCTCTGAGATCATGAAGTGCAGCTTCGTACTGAGATTTCAGAGACAGGCCGTGGTTCAGGCTGCTCCGTCTGGAACCCACCATCAGGACCAGCTCCTCATATGAATCCTACACAGAACATTAACTAGTTAGTCATGAAGATAAGACAAAAAGAAAAGATGTTTCACAGAGTTCCACAGTAAATGTAACAACACCTGTAGTTTGAGGAGTTCCTGGTTTTGTTCCGAGTGTCTTCCCTCTGCTCTGGTCCTCAGCTCTGTCAACCGCTGCTCAAACTCTCTCAGACTTTCCTCCACTTCAGTCAATGTCTACAAATAAACAAAATAATTAACAAAATCCACCTCAAATAACATTTAAGATTTCTCCCACTTTGAATTTCCCAGTGTTTGTACCTCTATCTGTTTTGATGCCGGTCTGTCTGCAGTGACAGCCATCTTCTGCAACAACTGGTGTTTACTTTCACACAGATCTGCGGAAATCATCCTCAGTTCATTCTTAAATAAAGAAAAGAAAGGGACTTGTGTTAAAAAACAATGTTGCACCAATTTCTATTTATACGTCTTCTATCACTAAACAATAAATCATTTAAATGTATCATATTATTATCATCACAATAGTAATAGTAAATGGGGAGGGGCAATGCACCTGAAATGTTGAGCGTGCCTGCAGCCTGTCTCTCATGCTGTCACAGTGCTGCTCCAGACTGGAGTCCAGCAGACCCATCCTCTCCTGCAGACCCTCCAGAGTGTCCTCCATCAGAGCTTGATCCTCTCCTCCACACAGCCGCCCTGCTGCTCCGCCCAGCAGGTCACGACACAGGTTCACCTCCCTGGTCATCTCTTTCAGCTGTTTGTGGAGACCCTAAAGGAAAGAGTTGATGACAGTAAACAAGAATCCACCAAAACAAATAAACTGAAGATGAGGGTGATGGTTTTTCCTCTTCTCACCTCTAAGTTAGTGAGTTGTGTCTCTGTATCTTCGAGCAGCAGCACAGGACCAGACAGCAGCTGATTCTCAGCTGCATCCAGCCACGAGGAGGCAGCTGAAACTGCAGCAAACAAGTCCTGCTGTAGAGTCAACACACCCAGAGACACGGCTGCTTTGGTTTCACCATCTACAACCTGGGAGGAGAACAGAGATGAAACTGGTTTAATGTAATTTAGTCAGTGCAAAACCAGTGATTAGTGACAAATACCAAACGTTAATGCATACTTTATACTAACTAAACTAATAATCAAAATCCAATGAGAATCAATAAGTAATTAAATCAATAGTGGATATTGATAATGCAATCAGAATTAATAAATTATCAATCTCCTTGCCTATTGATAGATAATTAAAATAAAAAAATTCTTACCTCTGCGATTCTTTCTAATCTCTGGCTGCACGCTTCAAATAAAGTCAGTGGGGATTGAGAATCTCGGCTGCCAAATTCCTGACTGAAGACCATGCTGGGACTGGACAGACGAGACAGATGGATGACCTGTGTACGAAAGTGACAGTCAGAAAGAGACGCTGTATGATGGACACAAACATGGACAGAAATCCGCAGAGAGAATGCTGTTCTCACTGAGCTGAGCTGGTCATTTTCCAGTGTATTGAGTGAAAGCTGAAGTTTTGTATTTTGGTCTTTGTTCAGGTTTTCCCAGCGTTGTCTCAGCTGTTCCAGAGGAGACATTATCTCCGACTCCAGCAACACTCCTCCTGGGATGGACAACTCACTGTAGGACAGGGAGGAGAGTTCTGTCACAAACATCTCATCACCTCTAAATCACTGCTGTTCCAGATGTTACGGGTTCAATACTTATTATATTACATTAGTTTAAATCTAATAAAAAGGTACCTGTCTCCATTAGGTGTTGTCTGTTGACTCAGTAACTCTTCACCAACAGTCGCCACTGACTGCAGCAAACGACGCTGTTCAGCTACTTGATTCTGCAGCTCCTAAAGTAAAAGAACATGAATGAGAGTTAAATCAGTGGTTCCCAAACCTCTTCTACGACTCCCCCTTTTTGTTGAGAGGAATACTGCACACCCCTCACAGCCTATACCACCAAATTAACAAACACTCGAATTCGGCGATTTTTATTTAATAAAATATCAAAAATGTGTAGAGTCATACTGAAAATGCAACTTTAACACAGATCAGTGGAAAATATTAATATTTATTTTATGTACTTTTTTCTCCTTTTTTATCGTGCGGTCAGGGGAGGCACTGCCTCGTCACTGGTTTACATAGAGACTGCATTAACCCCAAATATATTGCAGGAATGTTCTTTTTCTGTTGTGTCCGTGTAAATCAGATTGGATTAGAAAATGACAAACACAGGACACCATCAACCAATGACCGAGTCAAATAATGTGTGGCTTCCCATTACCCTCTGACGGAGCAGGTTGTCGTGATGTTGTTGAGTGCGTGTTGAACGGATCTGAGACAGCCAGTCCTGGACATTAGGACTCTGGGACAGGGATGAGTCAGGTTCACTGTCCTCCTGCTCCTGCAGTGAGCCCTGGGACAAAGACAGATGGAGGTACAAACTTTATTTTGAATAAAGATTTAAATGCAGGGAAAATCAGGATTTTTCTAAATTGGTTATGAGAAACCGGCTCATTTGATGATTTTTTTTTTCTAAATTGGTTATGAGAAACCGGCTCAGACACTATTTGATGATTTTTTTTCCTAAAAGATGGGACACAAAAACCACAAAGCAAAAAAGTGAAAATGTTGTGTCATCAGAAACACACCTGATGCAGTACATTCAGTGTGAGCATGTGACACGGTGGCAGTGTTGCAGCCTATTGTATTGTGTCTAAGGGTTCATTGTGAAACACACAGGCTCGTGTTGTTCCACTGTGGAAAACACTGAATTTGCATGAGGGAAGACACCAGTGACCTTTAGTGTTTGCACAATTCTACCATTGATGCTAGGACATGTGCAGCGTAATACACATGTCACATGACACAGAGCTACACTGACAATGAAGTAGAGGAAAAAGGGAGAGTTGGGACAGCATGTGGAAAAAACACCGGACGATCAGATCTCACCTGTATGTCCACCTGTTTGTCCTGCAGCATCTGCTGCAACTCCAGGAGACTGTCTTTGAGGGACTGCAGCTTGATGCTGAGCTGCTCGGCCTCTCCTTTAGTTTCTGCCCGACCCTCCAGCAGTAAACTCTCACTGTGGACGGACAGCTCCGAAAGATAGGACACTTTCTGCTCGATCTCAAACAGCATGTTCTAGAAAGACAGGATTACAAAAACAACAACAACAAAAAGTTTAAATCACTTTCTTCAGGTCAGCAGCCATTCTGCTATGGTAATAAAGCAATCGGGCTGCAATTGTGTCATCTCTTCTCATGCTGACTAAAGACTCTTTTGTTATAGGTCCATGTCGACCACAATCAGTGAAGATATGTGAAAGGTTAAATCTCCTTTGTTTACATCAGGCTACAAGAGCCCTTAGCTATTTCTACACAGAGTCGTCCACAACAATGAAGAGCCTCACATATTTTTTCCTCTATTCAGACTTGTCACTTGTGTGAGTTGGTCATAAGTTGGAAATATTCAGTTGTCCTTGTCACTTTTATGCCATGGCTTTTTAGACTTTTAGAAAGAAAAATCCTTATTTTCTACTGGAGTTTTATAATGACCAAAACTACATATAAAAATATATTTTTAATCTAAAATCAAATGTAATCAAACTTTCTTATGCTCTTCTTTGTATGTTGTAAATATGTACATCAACAGCTTTACCTGACAGTCAATAAGCTGCTCCTCCATGTCCATGTCACTGTTCTGGGGCTGTAGTGCGGAACTGAGAGTGGCACGAGTGCTGAGCAGCCAGTGGTCGAGTTCCTCTGCCTCACTGTGGTAACGCTGCAGCGCCTGCTCCTGACGCTGCTCCTCTAGTTGTTCACTCAGTTTTTCCTGCAGTGAAGACAAAATATTAAGTATTTATCCTAATAATAACATAATATTAGATAATAAACTTCTTGTGATTATACGCACTTCTAGAAGCTGCCGTTTTCCCGAGGCCTTCATCCGGATGGTGGCCATCCTCTCCCCTAGGACAGTGAGAGTGGAGTGCAGGGCCAGCTGATCACCAGGTTCCCCGTCACTGTCACTGTCTGCCAGCTCCTCAGAGAAACATGTCTGTAGCTCTCCAATCTCCTCCTGCAGCATCAGGATCTCGTCCATCTGAGCCTGGACGTGGCAGAGATGACAAAAATGTGAGGTATCCAGAGATAACAAACAGAGAGCAAGAAAAACAGGGCCTGTTCAAACCCTCACATGAGACACAAACTGTAACGGCATCTGAAATGTTCGCATGGCAACAATCCTGTGCAGCCTGTCTTGCCACTGTTCAGGCTGGTGCGATATTAAAGCCTTTAATCATTCCCAGTTCTCCTGAAGGGAAACAGCCCATTTTCCTGTCACCCTTGTAATTTACCCACGACATGCCTCATGCCTACTCTACAATTAACACCTTAGATGCAGTAGTATTTTTACTCCAGCTCCATCTCTTCGACCACAGTTTCAAAATGTCACAAGAGCTCTGCCGGGCCCTCCTGTCCCTCTAACCTGGTGTGCTGCCATCTGGCTCTCGGGAGTCTTGTTAGGCTCCAGGCCTTCGTTGAGAGCCCCCTCGATGGACTCCATCTTGGTGGAAATGGACTGGAGTGACTCCTGATAGTGTTGCTGCCTCTCCAAAGCTTCATATAGACTTTTCTGCTTCTCACTGATCTGTAGCAGAACAGGAATTTGATGAAAAAGGAGAAAATTGTTTAGTTTATTGACAAAAATATCCCTCCGTTTGTGTTATTTAGACTAAAAACATCACAGTACGTACAACAACAAAAAACAACCACCTCAACAATCTTTAAGCTAAGCTTTGCTACTTTAGGACTGAAAAATTTGACTATAATATATCTGAACTATTTTGCATTTAATGACTATAATATATCTGAACTATTTTGCTTTGAGATAAAGAACCATAACCTTCCACGTAGTTTTACTTTTGATTGTTTTTTGTTAGTGAGGACATACCACATTTTTCAGTGTTTCCCAGGATCTCTGCAGATCATCCAGGTTTGCAGTACTGGTCTCCATGGATGGGTCGTACAGCTCCTGTAATGGTGCTCGGCTTAAAGTGCCACGGACCTGCTACAGACACACCAGGCATGAAGTACACTCGGTCTACAATAACATTCAAAATGTTTACTTAAGGCAGCATTTGCTGTGCATGTGGTACAGAAGTCATACACTTTAAAATCTAAAACAAAAATACAGGGGAGTGAGCTTTCAGCTGTACAGTACCATCCACTAAAGGCTCTGGTCTTCAGCAAAGCAAAATTGCGAACATAAACTTTGAACAGAGAAGAAGCAGGGGGTAACAGAGCGACTCAGACATTCACTGTGTTGATAAGGAGTGATGTTATGGAAGAGTCTTGGAAATCAGCTGATGAAGAGGATGAGATCAAGTTTTCAAGTCCGGTTTAATACGTTATTCAGTCACATTTCTGACATATGTGAATACATAACTTATTAAAGCGGACATTTTACTAAACCATTAGTGATGAGTGTGGTTTTTGGACAATTTGTTTGTACCAAAGTCATGATGGTTTTCAGGTCTGGTTATGCTTGAGGGCCTGGAGGTTATGAGGGGGTAAGGTGAGGGAATGGCAGTTGCAATACCTGGTTAAAAGGAACATCAGCGTTAGCCCCTGGGGAGGGGGAGCGGCAGGCAGGGGGAGAGGAGACCTCGCTGTTGGTGCCCTCCTCCCCTGACTCTTCTGTCACAGGGGAGAGGAGTGTGTGGCAGCGGCCTGCTGTCATCTGACCGCATCGCACATCACGCATACACACACACAAATATCAAAGAAGCAGGTGGAGCAAAAGGAGGCAGGCGACCAAAACAGAAAACAGGCCGACAAAAGGAGAGAGGACACAGAGAGGAAATAAGAAAACAGAAAAGAAGAGAAAGGATAAAAATTAACAGGGAAGTGCAGGTTATGCAGATTACAGTCAGAATTACTGTAGATTAATTAGACAGTAGGCAATCACATGACATGGACTGCACACAAGATCCTTACTCTTGTCAGCATATACTGTAGTACACATTGTAGTATATGTAGTCGTGCAACAAGAGAAATTATTTAACAATTAATTTAACAGATGTTCTTAGGAATGTAGATTTATCTACACCAATCATGAATATTTACGATCACAATCAATCATGATTAATTTGTTCTTAGGAATGTTGATTTATCTACACCGATCATGAATATTTACAATCACAATCAATCATGATTAATTGAAAGTGATCAATCCATTGCCTCCTTGAGAATAATGGCATTAACAAAGTAAAGCCACCTTTTTTTAAAATGAGGTTTAAACAATGATTAGACAAACACAGGGTTCCACTGCCAGTGAATCATTGAGCCATTTTTAAGACTACATCAGAGGAAAGGAATGGTCGAAATGAAATCACAAATGAAACTACAGTGAGCGCACATGCAGTTAATGTTCAAACACACACACACACACACACACACACAGAGCCACACACATACACACTGTCGGGTTTCAGAACCACAGCAATTTCCTTTTCCTTCACAGGCACCCCTGGTAAACAGCACTCAGACATCACCTTAGAAACAAGCCTGATGGGAAACTCGCATACACTATGAAGAACAAAAAAACTTCCAAACTCAATAACTAACTCTATAGAGTAAACTACAGAAAATACTGTGTTGCCAGTGACAGCAGCAGCAGCTGTCAGAGAACTAACACAATTGTCTCTGCTGCCTGCATTCTTTAGCAGCGAGGCAGAGCTGAAATGTGAGCCAAACCCAAATCGTCTGCTTTTTGGCAGTTGATACAGAACTCTGGACTGAGTTATATTGGGACAGATCTTTTTTTCCCGGGCTTTATATGATGCAATGTAATGCAACGGAATAAAGAAGAAAAAAAAAAACTGTGGTGGAGTCATTATGCTCAAGTGTGAGTGAGAATGACTGACAGACACCTAATTGTGTTGATCAATGAAAATAATGCAGTATATCTGTAGCCACAGCAACGTCCTTACGCCGTACACTATCTCTTACAAAGCTCTGCTGACACACAGACGAACACATTCGGTCATTTCCTGTTTCCTGGCCTGCTGAGACTGAACACAGTACAGACTGAACCAGTCACAGAGAATGTAAATAAATTTGAATGTGACTGACAGTCAGACATTGACAGAGGAAGTGAAAGGAGAAACAAGTGTCACTTATTTGTAAAAAAAGTAAAAAAGCAGTGTCAAACCAGCAGTATTGGCTAAGAGTGACACAGCAGACGGCCACAGAGGGGTAACCTGAGGTGAAGGAATGTTTGAAAAAAACACGGAGAATGAAAGAAGCTTTTTGAAAATGTTATCTTTTTAAATAAAAGACATTTTTTCTCTAAAATGCTGACTTGAGTGGATTTCTACTGATGGAATTCTCGTAAAACCTGTAATCATTGCTGCCATCCTCAGATGTCCTATAATTATCACGTAAGAAAACACACACATGGGTTTAATTTAAGGGCTTCTGTAGGATGGAGGATGAGAACCAGACACATCTGTGGGCCTGAGACATGTGGTATGAGTATGTATGAGTATCTGTGTGATAGTACATGTGTCCAGAACAGGCTTTGCTACTCACCATGACGACAGAGGGGTGTGCAGGAAGCTGCTTGGAGCCGGCATTTGTGGTAGCGTTGGTGCTGACTGCCACAGGACTGGACAGCTCGTCATCACTCAGCTCATCCATGCCATCAGAGAGTCCGTCCACGTCGTTGACTGTCAGTAGCATAGTGGCATGTTTGGCTTTCACTGTCAGCATCTTGCACTTGGAGTGGAGTGATGCGATCTGCTCCTGGTAGCCACGGATCTTCTGGGCCAGCTCCTGTCAAAACATCATCCCCACAAAGATAAGACAGTTCCACCAGAGTCAAGAGAGTGTGGTTCAGTCCAACAGGGTAGATCAGCGGTTTCTGGTTAAGTTAAATCCGAAGAAAAGGAGTTGTTTCAGCCATTAATGCTGTGCCGGTAGGAGAGGAGTAAGTAGAGCGGATGCATTATCTTCCCTCCTGGGTCTCTGGTTTTCAGCTTTACAAGTGTGTAAGAGAAGAAGAGAATAGCACTGCCTCACTCTCTTTTTTTCTCTCTCTCTCAGTCTCTCTCTTTCCTGTATCTCTAAGCCAATCAGAGCAGCAGAGGCCGGTGAGTCAGGCTGCCAGTGAAGCCGGTTCACTGTTTGGTTGAGACAGAGAGACACGGACTCCAACAGAAACAGTTCAAAATCCCTCAAACACACCCTCTCGTATACAAACACAAATGGTGAGGAAATGACAGGAAGTGATCTCACTCCCTTCAACCCCCTTCCTCTGTGCGCTGCTGCCCTCCTCCACCAATCCAGGCTGCTCTAAACAAAAGAGAGCGGAAAGGAGGGACGCTGGGAGTGTTTATAGGGGAAGAATGACAGAGATGGTGTCAAATTACAGCTTTGGTATGAGCCGGCAGGCCGGGTCCAACTCCTCTCCTCCTCCTCCTCCGTCTGTAGTCTGAAGCACAGATGGTCTGTGCACTGATAATCGGGTCATGTGACTAAGTGTGACCGGTGCATTTGCAGCTATCTGCTCGGCTGAGAGATCAAACTCAGGGCAAAAATACACAGACAAGCCAAGCTGCAGAGATTGAGAAGCTGCACATACAAGGACATTTCACATATTTTCACAATTCGTGGACAGAGAGTTGATTAAAAACTGCCAGAACTATGCGGGGATAGGTAAACAATAACACATTTGTCTTATCCAATGACACCATGGTGTCATTTTTGTCTCTTACCCTTCACTTCACTTCTGAGCTTCAAAAAATCTATTATTTCATTTACATGCACAATCAGATAAATGTGGAATGTTTGTACAACAAGTATAATGTATTATACAGTATAATGCAATCAAGGAATTGATTAGAATTATTGATTATTTTAATATAATCTTGTGTTCAAATATATTATTTTTTTGTGTCTCAAAACATCTTTAATCAACTGTTTTTAAGACAGCAATGTCACACATTCTATGACCCAAATGTCCCTTATGTATTTGACCCAGATTCACTGACAGTGACCGCTCACCTCATGGTGGTGTATCTGAGCCTGAAGTTCCTGTATGTTACTGGTAGAGACTGGTCTGTCCTGGATGATGCGATGTGCGTCTTCTATTAGCCTCTGGAGGTTCCTCACTTCCTGCTCATACTGCTCATACTGCACCACAGCCTCCTGTGAAACAGAGTAATAATAAGAAGACAGAATTGTTGAACTGATTTAAACATGCAGTGGTGTAATAATACAGTTTACTAAATTATTTACATTGTTGTACATAAAAAAACAAGAGCAAACGCTAATATTATGGAAGCACTTGTGATATAGTGTCATCTAGAGTTCAGAAAAAAAGTGATATAGTGTCATCTAGAGTTCAGAAGAAAAAAACACACTATACAAAATAAGCTCAGGACTTAGATATTGATCTGATGGAGGCTAAACCGAAACAGAGACATTCCTTAAGGGTCCTGTAGGGACACTACAGTGGACTTGAAAGCACTGACAGTTACTGACTGAAAGGCAGGTTTTCTCTACTGCAAAAAGGCAACAATTAACATTTTTGGTATTTAGATTTTTTTTATTTTAAATACTTGAATTCAAAAGATTAAGAGTTAAAAATCAGACCGAGATAACATGCAAGCTCTTCTTCTGTATCTCACATTTTGTACTGTAAAAATAAATATGCAAGCTGGTATTTGTAATGTAAAGCCTGCCCTCTACCTGCAGGATGTTGCACTGTTGTATTGTAGTGTGCTGCAGTTGGCTGGCCTCCTGCTGCAGAGTCTGAGCAGTGCGGCAGGTCGGCAGACTGGTCACTACCTCCTCCGGCAGCCGGAGGGCGCTTTGGCACTGTTGCACTGCTGCCACCTGCTGCTTGAATCCCTCCATTTCCACCAGGAGACGCTTGGGAAGGAATGAAGATTTTAGATTTTATTAAAGGAACACATGATTGAATGAACTGATGTTTTGACTCCATTTGTGCCATTAAAGCGAACTGAAGAACTCTGTCAACACGTCTACCTGTCTCTGTGTCAGCTGCTCTCTAAGGCTGAGTCTATTCAGATCAGGAGATGCCAGTGTGACCTGGATCTGGTCCACCGCTGCATGGAGGGTTTTTACCTCTGACTCTAGCCGCAGCATGTCCTGCAGACAGACACAGATGGATAAGACAAACAAATAAACATGCAGGTTGACAGGAACTCTATTTATTATTATTTTCTATTATACAGTTTTTACAAGACAAACAAATAAACATGCAGGTTGACAAGAAATTATTATTTTCTATTATACAGTTTCTACAGTAAGTTACTCTGGATTTCATCCAACTGTGATGAACACCAGACACAGTTATATAATCCTAACTTTGATCTTTTTAGTGTCAGCTGAGTGAGTGTCAGATTAGTGAAAATGATTATTGGTGCATGAATGCAATTCCATCCATCATGACTGGTAGTTTGGCACTGACTGTAGGGGGCAGTGTTGCATCGTGGAACAGTGGTGCTAGAGTGATGTAAATGGGATTTCTTTGGTGTGAACCAGTCCCAACGTATTTTTGACCAACTTGATCAATTACTGTTTGGAAACATGACATCATTTACATTCATACCTAAATCATCAAAACTTTGAGGAATGATCAGGACAGGATGCAAAAATATAAATAACATCTAAAGATCACCTTTGGGATCTTCTTTGAACAGAATTTTAATGTACATTTACATGTGACACTAGAAGAGTTCAACATTTGGACACATTTTCTGGTTAAACAAAACACTGGCTGAGGAATAATATATGTATATATCAGTGTGAGTATCATTAATCAAAGTGTCCCAAAAATCTTATTTTAAAGGTTAAAACATGTTTATTCCTTAGAGGGAATAAATCTGAATAACATTTACCTTTGCTGCATCCTGCAAACTCTGGAGGCGAGTCTTGGCATTTTGCTGCAGCTCCTCAGTTCTCCTGCTGAGGTGCTTCACCTGCTGGCCCCACCCCTCCGTCTGCAACACCTCCCCCAGGCACTCCTCCCGATCCCCCATGGCTTCCAAGTCACCATGGAGACCCCGACACTCCCGCAGCAGAGCCTGTCACCATGGGAACAAAAATTTTAAGCCAAAAACATGAGCGATTACACTCATTAAGTCAAACAAACAGTGACCAGTTCCCAACATTTCACAACAATCTACTGTGCATCTAACCAGCTGCAAATGTTTGAATTGTGTGGGTTATTGAAGAAAAGAAAGCTTTTTTTTTTTTTTTTTGCAAAAAAACAGCCAAACTTTATGCGGCCTGATTTTGTGCAGTAGTTTAGCGACTTCTCCAAAATGTATTCACCCTCTGGGCTCTGAATTACCTGATGGGCTCGAATCTGCTCCTGCAGCTGCAAGGCAGAGTTCCAGTTGATGTTACCATGGACCAGAGCCTCTGCCTTTTCTGTCCAGACCAAAATGAATCCCTTCATACCCTGGTATTCCTCAAACTGCCTTTCAGCCTGTGGCCACATTAGAAGCAAATAAATAAATAAATAAATAAATAAATAAAAATTAAAAAACAAACAACGAAGCTCCAAAACTCTGTTTAAAATGTATAATTTAAACCTTTGTTCTAGATATAAAAATGTAATGGATATAAAACCTTCTTCAGTCTGTTGGCTCTGTCCTGGACCTGCTGCGTCATGTGCCGCTGCACCTCGGTCAGTTTGGCCACAGCGTCACCGAGCTGCTTGCACAGCAGCGGGTTCTGCTCACCAAACTCCTGCACCGCTACTCCTAACTCTACCAGAGAGCGACAGCAGGATTCACACTCTTCACAAAGAGCCTGTCAGGGAGAGAAGGGTGAGGAGGTGAGACAAAAGGTGAAAGGCAAGGTGAAAGATAAACGGGAGAAATAAATAGCATATATAAAGCCAATTTATATCAAACATTCAACGCTTGAGGCAATTAAATGTGGTTTAATAGGCAAAGAATGATTAATTAGAGAGTGGTCGCTGAGCTGTTGGGTGGTTTGGGTCTCAACAGATGGGGCAGAGGAAAAAAAGTTTGGACAAAAAAAACGACTCAAAAATCCATTTGGACTAGTCCTTAAAGTGGGTCACTCTCAATAATGGCAGAATCCAGTTCCAGCCATTCCAGCACAAAAGACACCGATTAACCTCGACATCTGCAAAATGAATAGCCCATTTCACAGGGGTTAATTGCTTGTTAATTAGTCAGTCTGTCTAGTTGATTACTTTAGTCTCTTCTTTGGCCTCCTCCAGGTCCGTACTCTTGTCTTCCAGTTTCAGGGCGATGATCTTCAGCTTCGCCTCAATGTCCTGGAGTCTGGTGTTGAAGTCCTCTTTTACATCTCTGGTCTGCTGCACCTCTCGTTCACGGGCCTGGACCTGAAACATAAGGTGGAAATTACATTTACATCTAGATAGGATATAAAAAGTTATAAAAAAACAGCTACAAACAACTATAATATTCTGGGATGTGATTTTTAATTATAATACTTTAATTTGCCCGACGTAGGACACAGGACGATTGTGGCTCATTTCTGTTTGCCCAATCTGACCTACAAAAGGTGTACAGTTCTGTCAAATACTAACTAGAAGCAATCTTAAAGAACAAAACTGACCAAAAATATAAAGCTATATTTGGTGTCACTTACTGCAGTCCACAGAACTGAATTACACAGTAGTTAATTAAACTATAAACCCTTGAACAACACACAGTCAACTTGTGGACGGCTGAATCACCTGGTCCTCAGCAGAGCCCAGAGCCAGAGCCACCTCTGCCAGCTGCATACTGAGCTCCGAGGGCAGACCGGCCTGGAGGTCTTGGTACTTGGTCTGCTGCAGCTCTGTGATTCGCTCAATACTCTGACGTCTGTTGATGACCTCACCATGTGCTGTCTAAAACACAGAAATCAAAGCTTCAACAGTCAGCAACTGTCCTGTTGTTTTCTCTGTATGTGTGTGTAGCCAGATATATGAGCATAAACCTCCAGTTCCTGGAGCAGTGAGTCCAGGTCGGCTGTTGGACTTAGCAGTAAACCACGGGTGTCTTGGATCCATCCTTTCACCAAACCCAGCTCCTTTTCAACCTCCTCTCGTTCCCTCAGCTCTTGATGAACCTGAGCTCTGCTCGCCCTCACACGCACCATCAGACTGGACATCAAATAGATGTAGGTCATTGCACAGGTCAATCAAAAAGGGTAAACTGTACTAAAATATGAATAAGATATACTGTATAAAGTCAGTCAAGTGTAGGGTAATTGAGGATTTCACACCTCTCATACTGCTCCTGCAGGTATCTGATCTCCTGAAGGCTCAACACCCCCTCATGTCCATTCTCTGTCTTTTTCTCAACATCTAGCTTCTTCTCTTGCTCCTCGTCTTCTCCTCCTCGCAGAATGCAGGTGTGCTGCCGAAGCAGAGCCAGGATGGACTGCTCCCGCTCTACCTCCTGGCTGAAGGAGTCGTGGTACTCCAGGAGGCTCTGCAGTGCTGACCTGGTGGCAGCCTTCTCCACTGTGCTGTCTGGGACACGGCTGTGGAGGTCTTTTGACACAGAGCGCACCTTCTCCATCTGTTGGACAGAGAAGATAAGTGTTAACAACTAGTAGTGGACCAGATAATTACCAAAAATAACCATAAATACGTTAACAACTAGTAGTGGACCAGATAATAATTACTAAAAATAACAAATAAAAAATCTCTAGAGGCCATCTTCAAAGTAGAGTAGGAAGGATTTTTTTCATTAGTGGAAAATGGACTGAAACAGTAAAGCAACGAATATGGACCTTTATGCTCATGAATAATCTTATCATTTGGATTATTGTCAAATGGACCTTTATGCTCATGAATAATCTTTTATTCTTTTATACTTGATTATTGTCACGTACATTTTATTTAAATCCCTGAAAATACCAAAACCAAAGTTACACTCCAAAGAATATAAAAAAATAAATTAAACTCTCAGGGTCCAGGTCACAGGGCTCTGTGTAAGAAACAAAGACAGAAACCAAAGAGAGTAGAGACTTCCCCTGAATGTGAATAGACGATGACCTCATGCACTGTTGAACAAAGTCTCCACAGAAAACCAGTGGACAACAGAAATATGCCACATATGAGGAAGTGACTGTTTTCTACAGTGTGACCTCATTTCCCTTTTAGCAGCAGTCCTTTGTGGGATTTCTTGGAAACAAGACAGGGTTCACAGTGAAAATAGGTTGAAAGGCGGGAAAACGTATTACATGACAGAGTTTTTGGCAGGAGACAACATCGGGCCTTAAGCCTGGAGTTACCTCACCAACTGCTGCTCAGCTGTTGCTGTTTTTGACCTAAATCCTCAGAGGAAAGAAATGCTGCAGTTGGGTGGTTTGAGGTTTCCAATGAGCCAAATACATAATCAGGCCCATGTTGATGTCCTCCGTGAACTACACGCTGTATGTGTTCAGTACCATACAAACAAATCTGCTTGCTTTCTCACCTTCTCTGTGAAGTTTTGCCACTCCCTCACTGTGTCCACCAGCCCCTTCTCTTGGGCTCGAACCACGCCGCACAGCCTGGACCACCGTTGCCGTAGCGATGACACAGTTTGGCCGATGATACTTTTGCTGTGCTTAGAAGTGATTGTCTCTAATTCAGGGATGTTGTCTCTCAAAGCGTCCAGAGCAACCTCCATCAGGTCAATGTGAGCAACCAGAGACTAGAGATAAGACACAATGAACGCAACACCCACCAATTACAAGAGTTCTATCAATATTTAATTAAATCTTATTTTACCACACTGTCTCATTCCCCTTGTGTACAGTACGGCGACCCACCCTGTATGTCTGACACTTGTCTTTTGCTTCTTGGAGGCTGGTGGCTTTGGCTGTGGTGAACATAGCAATTTTACCCTCTGCACCATTCATCTGTTCCACCAGTGCGATTCTTTCCTGCTGGAAGGCGCTCCACAGAGATCCAGTCCTGGGAATGTGGCAACAATTTAACGGGTTAACAGATTAGAGAGGAAAGACAACACTGAATGCAAAATTAAATCAATTACATAATCAAGACATTTCACCTCTCCAAAGTTTTTCTGTAAGCTTCCAGTTGTTTTTTGACCTCTGTGTGTTTCTGCTGCATCAACTCAATTTTCTCACTCATCACCCCTGGTTCCATGAAATCCATCATAGAAATTAATGTCCTCAGCTCCTCCAAGGCGACTGTAAAGCTCTTTTCCTGGGTGAAAACCGCATCCACTTCCTGTGAACAGTCTGCCTGGTTCTTAAGATCCACCCCTGCGTTGGTCCTCTGAAGCAAAGCCACAGCAGAATCTAACCATTTCTGCATGGTCTGCAGAGATAAGTGGCACCGCTGGACCAGGGCAAGAGCTCCATCCACAGCAAGCTGGAACATGCAGAGGTTTATTTAATTAACTGTTGGCTACTTTCCACAATCTAAATCCTCTCTGACCATGGTCCTGTCAGTTTTGGAAATTAAAAAGTCCACTGTGTAGAATATGATTCACTTAAGCAATTTCATACAGGAGTACACAGTACTTGTTTTCAAATAAACAATACATGTTTTTCTCCTTTGGGGTAGTGCAATTAAATATTGTGCTCATTCTGTGATAATGCATTTTATTTAATCATTTCACTCATTTAATCATTTCAAATAATTTAAAAAACTGAAATAGCAATTGACCTGACCTGAATGTATTCAGTGGGAAAAACATAATAAAAATAACTGAGGGATCAGAAGAAGTATGGACGACCAAATTACATTTACCTTCTTCACACAAACTCTTTGTTGAACTTCAGCTGCCAGTTTTCTGACCTCCTGTAGTTTCTCCTCCACATGAGTGGTTTCTTTTCTCCCTCGACAACTTTGCTTCTCTCTGTCACCTGAGGCATCCGCTCTCCTCAGGCAACTTCCAACTTCTTCCTCAATGATTCTCACTTCGCGTGACTCCTTCTGCACCTGCTCAGTACTGACCTCTGAAAGAATCAAAGGTTCTTCCACCTTGTCCTTGATAGTCCTCAGACGCTGCAGCAGTTGGTCCGTGTCTCTTGTGAAATCTTCGTTTTCCGTGACCTGGACTTCACTCGCATCAAGCATTCTTTTTATTTCACCTCGTAGAGATATTAATGATTCAAGCAGCTGTGCAGCTTCTGTAAAGGCAGTGTTTTCAAACTTAAGGCCGAGGCCTTGTGTTTGAGAGTTACATTCCTCAGTCTCAGATATCATACGGTCCAGTCTCTCTAGAAGTAAATAAAGATAAGTGATTTTTTCTAAATGTTTTGTCACTTTGTCTGACTTCAGCTTGACCACCTCCTCTCTGACAGACATTAGCTCTGAATCCAAACTGGTCAAAGCTCTGTGGTTATTGCCTATGACTGTTAAACAATTATTTAAGTGAGTAATTTTGTGATCAGCTCTTTTCTTAATGCTGTTACACAAAAGGATTAGCTGCTGCATCTCTTCAACTCTGTACTGCTGCCCTCGACAGAGAAAACCTTCATTTTTGCTGTGTATTTCTCTCACAGCAGCGTTGATGTGCAACAAACTCTTATCAATGTTCCTGTATTCATTCATTAGACAAACAACGTCCTCCCCTCTCATACTGATGATCGTCTGCTTCTCCAGATTGTCAAGCTGCCCCTGAAGCTCCTCCAGTGCATTACGAGTAACATCCAAAAAAGTGCTGAACTCCTTCCTCTCCAGGATAATATGTTGGACTCTGTCTTTCTTCTCTTTGGCCAGAGCCAGGATGGCATTGTACTGCTGAGGCAGAGCATTAAGCCTCTCGTCCAGGTAGCAATGGTCGATCTCATTCAAAGTGCGGAGAATCTCCTGGCCTATTCTTTGGACAATAAGAAGGAGATTCTCATATTCCGAAGCTTCTTCCAGGACTTTCTGAAAGTTAGATAGTTGTGTTTGCAATTCTGAGCTTTCATCAATCTTGCTTAAATCGACTTCAGGGAAAGTGACGCTATCCGCCTGTCTTAACCACTGACAGGTCTTGTTTAAGTCGACCTGAAAATACGTCCTGGAGGTTAAGGCTCTTTCTAAGTCAGCGAGACGCTGAGTTGTCCTCTGGAGGGCATTTTCAAAGACCGATTGAAGTTCCTCGAGTCTCGCCAGGGTTTCTGTTCTTTCTTTGTCGGAGGCATCTCTCTCCAGCTCTCGCCCCTGGACCCAGAGAGATGCCAGCTCCCTTTGGTAGGTTCGTAAGCTGCTTTGGACACTTCGACAGGCAGCAACCTGTTTTGCCAAGTCCTGTGGGAGAAGTGCTATGTGGTCATCAATCAAAGCCTTCCTCTCTTGTTGTTGTATCCAGGACAATGCTCTGCTCAAACCCTGAAGGAACTGCGTTCTCTCTGTGAAGGCCTACACAAATGGAGTCAAACACAGAAAGTCAATCATTTCAGTTAAAGATAAAAGTGAAAGTACACCGTTCTTTCATATAAATTCTCCAAACTAAATGTACTGCATTTTTGATTGACTGTCAATCTGATTAGTTTAACAAAATAATGATTTCAGTTAATGCATACATTTCAACATAACTTGTAATAATTGTATAACAATCATTTTGCAACACTGACCTAACTTCTGGAACTGAGAATTACAAGTGTGTAACTAAAACCCACTGCAGGGAAGCGAAAGAGATTCATAAACGTAAACATTAAACCTCAAACAATTTTTCTATACTTTAGTCTTTAAAAATATTATTACACCTTTAAAGTACTGAATCGCTTAGGACTAAATTGAAGTTCACACTGTTTACCTTACTAAGATACTTCCTCCTCTGGGCCACCTGAGCACCCAGAACCTCCACTTCAACCTGGGCTTGTTCAACCAGCCCCTGAAGGCCTCTCTTCTCACTGAGACCCAGCCTGGAGGCAACAGCCTGGGCTTCGCTTACTGCCTGACCCAGCAGCTGCTGACGGGCCTCCAGCTCCACACACACACTCAAATGGTCAAACAGGAAATTCTGGGCAACATCAGGAGGTGGGCTAGTTTTCAGCACAGACGTTAGTGCAGGCCGCTGTTCCTCCACCCACTCCCGGGCGTCTCTGAGCTGGTATTCCACACGGGCCAGATCCTCTAGTGTCTGGGCTGAGTCCTGGATTTTCTGTTGAATCAGGTTTTCAAGCTGAGCCCAGCGCTGCTCCAGATGACCAACCTTGGGAAAAGGAGAAGATGTTTTAAAACTGGAAAAGGTTAAAGGTTAAACCTTTGTCTTTAGAAAAACAAGAAAACTAAGCTCAACCTGTTGCTTGACCAGCTCCTTGTCCAGCAGGCTAAGTCGTGGCAGAATTGCTAGTTTTTGTTCCCTGACGTCCTCTAGAAGTGCTTTCTGTTCCTCAAGGTCACTTGAAAGTTTTCTTAAAGCCTCTAAATGTTCACTCGTACTTTCTGTGTCAGCTCTGGGGACATAAAGATATAGTTTTGGGTTAATTTATTCTAAAGCAGTTAATGTAAAATACATAGGTATTAATATATACCTTGCCAGATAGTCCCACTCTCTTGATACTTGGTGGAACAGTTCCTCCAGAGCCACAATGCTCTCCTGGTATTCCCCACTTCGCTGCATGTCTTCTCCGCGCTGAGCCTCAAGCTCTTCTGCCTGCTGACCCAGATCAATCCAACTTCTCTTCAGTCGCCTTGTCTCCTCCAGAGCTGGAGACACCTGCCCATTTGTCATTCTCCCAATGGCTTCATTCAAATGCGTAATTTCAGACTGTCTCTCCTTGATCTGCTGGAGGAACTCCTGCAAGAATGAGGACACATAAAGAAGTCTAAAACATTCAATTTGGTTCGCAATAACACAAAAATGATCAAAGAGCTGAACAATAACCTGTGCTTTGTCCAGCTGATTCTGTGCAATTTTTGGTTCCAGTTCTGCGGGTCTCCTGATAAGGTTCTGCAGTTGCTGCTCAGTTTCTCTCAGTTGAGCTTGCAGGTCTGCCTTCTGCTCCTCAAAGTCCCTCCAACTGTCTGCTACCTCTTCACAGAGCATCATCCGCTCCTCATTCTAGAAAGAAAAAATTCAAATCATTTTAAATCACGTACAAATTGTTCAAAGAACCAGTACAGACGTTGAGAAAATGACTGACCTGCAGTTTGACGTGCTGAATATCTGCTGCAGTCTCTCTGACCCTTGAGTCTGACAGGTCACAGGTTGAACACACAAGCTGGAGGTAAGTACTGGCCTGCTCCTGGAGAGTCCTCTCCCGTTTCACCTTACAAAATGTCCACAGTAAAGTTAAAGTCTGTTGAACGTAAAAAAAAAGATTAAGCAACTACTAGGCTTTTTTTTCACCTGCTGTAGCGCCTCCTCCAGACTTAGAGGTGGATGTGCAGGAGGTTCTGGTTCTTCTGAAACAGAGTTCAGCCAAGTCTGGCATTGCTGTAATGTGTCTTGGAGACTCACATGTCTCTGTAACTCATGGTCCAGACTCTGATAAACCTGTAGACAGACACGTTGGCTGTAACAACATTCTACTAGAGAGACACTCATATGACATTTTTACAGTTTTACTGCATCTGTACGTTTAGGTTGAAGTGATTCACTAAATTAAAGTTTTTTTTTTTTGCCAGGCTGCCTAGCTTTGACGTTGTTATTAGACTATTAATCTTGAACAGGAAGATAGTTCAACTGTGTTTAACAGGTGTTGATTGTGTAGATGTCTCTGGCCTCCAGGGGAGAACACACCGGCAAGGTCTAAATGACATTGTTAATATGTGAGCCCTGAATGGAATTGGGGGAGGAAGGGGAAGGCATTTATTGGCAAACTGCCCAATGTATTTGGCAAACGCCTAAAGATTGGCACCACGACGACCAAGCAGGATATTAGCGCTGTGCTGGGGTGGGACGAGTGTTGGCAGCCGCGGCAACACAGGAGCCAGCAGCGTGGTGTAAGAGGTAGAAGTGTGGCTGCGTCACACAATTCTAGCGTGGACGTGTGAGCGGTGCGGGTGGCGATGTGTGGGGAGGTGAGCTATGATGACAGAGGAGTGGTTGCCAAAATGACAGAGTGGTCTGGATTAGAAGAGTCGCCAGATCTACTGCAAAGTGGCATGTGCTGCCGTTTTTTGGCTAGGGCATAAAAACATAAAGTTGACAGAGGATGCGTGGAGATTAAAGTGGGGAGAGATTGAGTGATTCAGACTGTTTAGGTTTTATATGTGTGCAGCTGCAGTTCAGCTTCTCTTTGGCTCCTTTAATTGGTTGTGCCCTCTGCGCTGGCTGTTTTGAGAGATGGGTTTAAGAGTTGGAACAGAATTAAGTAGGAGCCCAGGAGGTTGGAATATTAACGGTGTTGATATTTTAGGCATGCATGTCTGTGCTGCACCAGTGGATGCATGTGCAAATATGTGTGCAGCCTCTCCAGTGTGTCATGTCTAATGCTGTTAAACTCTAAGTACACTTCACTGCTTCAAACGCAGAAAACATGTCTTGGAAGCTTCTTATTCCTCCCTCCTCTTTCCTCCTCCTCCTCACTCACTCTCTGTGCAGTGCTACAGATGGCAGAGTAGCTGTCTCTGGTGCCTTGCTGGTGAGCCTGAACCTGCTGTCTCAGCCTGCTCTGCACACGGTCACTGCAGCCCTGGACCAGGTGGTCTCCTCGCTGCTTCAGGCCTGCCAGGCGCTCCTCAAACCCAGCAATTTCCTCCATAATGGCCTGGTTAACACAAAGTATGCAAGTAGAATGATGTTACCGAGGATTTCCATAAACCAGACACAGGGACGTGGCCCATGAAACAAGCACCTGTGTTAGTTTCATGGGCCATGGACCAAGGACATTATAATGAAGAGACCTTCAAATGGTGGCCTGTGGTGTTTGTGGACCCAGAATATACGGAAGAGACCTTCAAATGGTGGCCTGTGGACCCAGAATATACATAAATTGTCTTTCATTTCATAATAATAACAATAATAATAATAATAATAATAATACACTGTGCCCTTAAGATATCATCACATGCAAACAGATTAGTTTTCATGAATGCACAGAAAAAAAATTCCCATAAATATTTTACAACTTTAGGAGTTCATCTGCTGACAGATTCGATATGCCCTGAGCTCAGAAACTATGTAATGTTATGTGTTACCTTGTGCCTGGCCAGCTGTTGAGTGGCTGTCTCTAAATTGCCTCCTACAGTGGGGTCAGGAGTCACCATCCTGCTGGACATCTGGAGCAGCCAGCGCTCCACCTCCTGGAGTTCATTATGGTACACTTCCTGGTCTTTCACCTGAGCTTCTAGAGTCTCCACGTGGATCTAGAACATGGATAAATACAAAACCAGCGCTCAGTCTACACAGCTGAGTTTCTTATTCAACACCTTTTTTTATAGCAATGTATTAAAGCAGTGTAAATGAATTAGTGACACTCTTTTTTCTCTGCATGTATTAGTGTCACCTCAGAATAGGTCCTCACCACAGCTCTTTTACACAGTTCATTATAATCTCTTTGCAGTCTGTTCATTTTGTCTCTGATGGAGGGGTAGTGGACAGAAGCCAGCAGAGCATCTCCCTTCTCCACCACGGACCTGATGGATCCATCGTGGGACTGAACCATCTGCAGCAGAGCCTGTGGACAAGAGACAAGAACATTGAGTACAGAATAATCTACACAGAAATCACAGTCCTCCACCACTGAAGTGTATTCAGATTTATCTTGCCAACAAATGTGTTTTACAATTAAAACTATAATTCAGCATAAAAGGAAACCCATACTCTGAAATGGTCAGTACATTTATTTTTTGAATTAATGGACTAAAACACCCATGTGGCTCATTAAGTTAATTATACTCAGTAATGTCCTGTTGTAACTGGAATCCACTACAAAATGAAATGACTGCATATGACATTAAAGCGATGCCCGGGAGGCTTTTATTCTGCTGATTGATTCAAAAATGAGAAATGACAGGGATGCTTTACTTTATACTTAGCCAGCTGCGCTCTGCGCTGGTAGAGCTCGGCCTTAGGCTCCACTGGAGTGTTCAGCAAAGCTTGCGTCTCCACCAACCACTGAGCTTGACCCTTGTATCGGTCCTGGAACTCCTTGGCTAAAAGTAAGGCCCTCTCCAGGAAGCTGTGCTCGTGTCTCAGTCCTCCAGCGAGCTCCTCCAGTTGTGCAAGACGACCTTCGACCTCCGATCCCAAACTCTCGGCTCCGGCCTCGTCCAAGAAGCCTGCTGCCTGCTCTGCTTGCTCCCTCAAGGATTTGAGGAAACTGTGGCCACGATGAAGCTCAGACTGAAGAGACTGGAAAGGAAAAAAAAACAAAAAATAATTTCCACATTCAGCAAACTTGATAAGCAGCGGTTTAAGTTTCCCAGAAAAATTCTTTGTAGCTCACACTGTCTAAAATTCTGCAGTCCTGCTGTCGCAGCCACCATCATTATAAGGTTAACATACAAACACTCCATCTGTGATTTCTTTGTCTTTCACCTCCACTGACGGTCCAGACACCCTGACTGTGCTGACATCTGTGCTTGAGAAAAAGCTTTGAACCCATCAGGTCTGCTGACGCCTGCATAGTGAGTCGAGAAGAAGACTCCCAGGTCACGATGTGGAGAAACCATGGCGAATAATATGAAAGGAGGAACCCAATTACAAAGACCCTTAACAGGCAGCAGCAGCCACGGGGGTTTCCAGGGCAACCACACACATACATTCCCGTCGACATCCACTCAATGGGACGCCATCTAGCTTTCATCACTTGGCTATTATTGCTTCAGTCAAGAGCAGTTTTGCACCGCAACAATCCCACATCTCCAGCTACTCCTGTGGTGTAGCTGGAGATGTAACAAGAGCTGCGTGTTTATCAGCACACTCTGTTGTCTGCCGCTCAATAAGGAGCTGCAGGGAAGTTCATCATTCTTATGAAAACACAAACAACTCAGGAAAGAACAAGCCTGAGCTAATAACTGAGTAGAATTGGAATAATGATAAAATAAACATCATTAACAAATCGATTCAACGATGACAACCCACTTCATATGGTGTAATTTATACTAATAGCTAATATAGTGGCCACTTTGCTACAATTTAACAGTTAATCTATACAAGGTCCGGGACATGGTGAGACCTTTTGTACCACGTCAACCCCAATTAACCGCGTCAAGTGTTCCTGTGTTCAGCCGGTGTGAATGATGAACCGTTGCATCGTTTCTCATTCTGTATCCGTTCTCTGCTTCTATTATCTACTGTAATACATCCACTGCAGCACAGACAGCCGTGCACACACTAACAGAGCAGGATCATTACAAAGGTGACCCCCTGAATGCATGTCATGAATGCATCAGCAGCATGAAGACGTCAGGTTTTGCACTTCATCAAATGTATTGATTAGTTTTCATATAGAGTCGCCGTAACGCTGTTTGATTAATGTTTTGTTTTCCTCCTGTAGCTGTAAAAAAAAAAAACAATAAAAAATTGTTTGTAATCTGTGATGACATGTAAGAAATTAAAACATGCAGCATGTTTATAGCTGCAAAAAGGTCTTCTGAAAACAACAGGCTGTTTTACCTACAAGAATGTCCTTGAACATTGATGCAATGTCAGTGGAAATAAATATATAAGTCGGGAAGACAAGGGGTGGCATAATTAGGAGGAGGGAAGAAACTCATTTCTTATTTTTTTTCAGAAGGCAGTTAGGGGAAGATGCTTATTTTTAGCACATGTGGCAGACAGCAGTGCTTTATTTTGATACAGTACTTTTTGATAATTAAACTAACAAGACATGTCTGTATTTTACACTGATACAGTACTTTTTGATAATTAAACTATCAACTATAACAAGACATGTCTGTATTTTACACATTACACATTACAGTATGAAACAATGTGCTTTTTTATGGTGTGTAGTAGGAGACTGAAGAACCCTGAGGAGGCCCAGGCAAACTACAAACAGACAGACCTGCTGGTGAATTGGTGATCTTCTTGCTTTAGACAAGAGAACTAATTTCTCTTGCACCACGTGGTCAAGTATGTATATTTACATTTGTAAACTGTCCTGTTATTTCCAAGCCTCTTAATTAGGCCTCAGGCCTGTGAGTGCTGTCTGACAGTTACAGTTCAATACCAAATGAAGCCCAAATCCAATTTAATGGCCCTTGACATGGATATTGACTAGTGCTCTGTGTCAGTGTATAATCACCAAGCTCACCCTAAGTCCCAATAGCTCTTACTGGGAAGATGACTTAGTAATGGAGCATTCATGTGTTATCTGCAGTGCTGGAAGGAGACGTGGGGTGACGGCATTCTTTCAGTCCCTATGCAGAGAAAAAGAATTGATCCCAGACAGGGATTAGTGCAGAGCCCACACCAGATGATGTATAGTAAAGGTCTGTGTGTGTCTGTGAGTGCAGTCTTGGTTGGGGGTTCTGTGTGTCGTGTGTTCAAGTGTGAGACAAAGGAAAACGGTGAGAAATCTAATGTAAAATCACTGAGTTTCGTAGGTTTGAGATTTTGCTCTGGCTTGTTAGTCCCTTGAATGGGTGGTTTCAACGTGTTGAAGGAAGAAAGTCTGCATGTGTGTGTGTGTGACAGAGAGAGAGAAAGTGTGTGTGTGTGTGATGTGAAGCGGTAAGGGCACTGCATCAATTACAGTGTCTGTGCCAGCAGGCTCCTGACACTGGCGCTTCTTCATCCTCTGCTTCACACAGTGGGAGGTGTCTCTCCCTGATACAACGCTTCCTCCAAAGCGGCACCAGCTTTGTCTCCATAAAAGTCTGATCGATACACACTCACAATCATCTAAACCTCCACAGACACACACACACCATGTAAACTATGGCAAGAAAAAAAATATATGATTGCCTTTTTTCTTTGCACTGTCTCATTGTGTACACTTCAGCAGGGATTCACACAGTTGATGTTGTATTTAACTCAGCAGGGATTCACACAGTTGATGTTGATGTAGAGTACAAAGATAAACTGTTAGAAAATACACTCCTGCAATAACTTCACTTTAGTCTGTGTTATCCAGATTGTTTAATTAAACTGGCAGCTTTGCAAGCTTCACAGAAAGTTAATGCATATGTTACTGTCCAAGTGTGTGCCGCTGCCAAAAACTGTACAGTTGGTTTTACAAGCACGTCCCTTGTGTTGCTTTGCAGAAAACTAGTTTACAAAAGAACATTTTTGCCAGCTTGTATATTGGCGTCAGATGAGTTTGTGCTCAACTCCTGGGCTATAAATGGAAGTGCTGCTTACGCATCACTTTTCCATGGTAATACCCACTGTCTGTGCTGATTTATGGCAACCTGTTCAGGAGGGTTTACTAAATGCTGCATTTGATTTTTCATTCTTTTACACAAGCCCCTGACCAACAGAATGGAGAAACAAGTCTGTGGAATATAAACTTCTAATTCAAAAAGTAAAAGGTCAATTAGATCCATACCTCAAGTTTCTTCATTTTCTTCTCCATAGCAACCCGGTCCAGAGGTTCTGAACTATCAGTCAACACTGTGAAGTTTTTCTGAGTGGAGCTGAGCCAGTCTGAGAAAGAGCAGCAAAGATTTTCTGCCTCTTCGATGCTCTTGGCTTCCTCCTGTAGCTGCTTGATGGTATCCTTAATATATTGGAGAGAAAAAAGTTTCATAAACAAAAGTTGGATTTAAAAACATCACTATTAAAAAAAAAGCTTTATTTGCAATGTGTGAAAACACAGAGGGGACCAGCGTAAATCTGTTAGCTTTTAATACCGACTAAGCTTATGTATGAAAGAAGAACAACAGAAAAATGAGCCAATGATTTAACTGAGAGACATTTTCATAAAATGTAATGCAGAAGTATAAAGAACAACACCACAAGAATATCCTTGAAACACGTTCCTTCCTTGAACCCCCAACACTAGCCAACAAGGAGCGAGAATCCTCTGATCAGCCATCAAGACAGAAAACATCTATTTTCCCGCTTGTCTTTCATCTGCTGAAAGACAACAGCCTGTCACTAAGGTGAAGAAAAGCTTCATGTTTTTTGAAACATTATCCACTTGACTGGAGAGCTTGAGTCAATAACACCATGAGGATGAAGAGAGGGTATTCGCCTGTTCCACATATTATTCATGCTACCTGCGAATCCTGCAGTGAGAGCCCCCAATTAACTGATAGTGCTGATAGTGCAGTTCTTTTGGACTAGAGGGCGGTAATGGCTTCCCACCTTCAGCCCATATGGCCTGCACTTCACACAGTATAATTACAGGCATCCAGCGCGAGAGACGTATGATGTGCGGGGTGGAAGGAGAGGAAGGGAAATGCATGCTTGAGTTAATTTTGAGAGCAGAGGAAGGAAGGGGTGTGTGGGTTTGTATGTGAGCCACAGACACTGTGAGGCGCACATGTGCACACACACACACACACACTCAGATGTGTTACCAAAGGTGTAAAAATCAATGCAGTTGAGGCAAAGCTTTGGCACTCCTGCTGCTGGGTGTGAGATTGCCTTCTCTAGCATTTAATTGCAGCCGTCGGCACAGACCAGGAGAAAACTCCATTGATTTTTCTTTTTTGTCCATCGCCAGAGGGGGCAGCAAATAGAACAACACAGACTTGTCTCCTGGATGTAGCCGTAAAATTTACTTGCGGGTAAACATTTGATGAACAGTAATAAAGTCCAAAATGTAATAGAGTAAAGTCCAAGCTGGGACAGAGTATGAAAACAACAAGAAAACTCAGTGCAGATCAGAGACACAGATACAGTCATCGTCTCTGTCAATATTTGAGACCATTTTCAAAACAAGCTGCTATACCTCAGTTTAGAAAAAAAGTCTGCAATGATTTGTTGATTAATCACTGACTCAGTATGTACCCAAGTATTCCTAACAGTCGACTATCCATTTAGAGTTTTTGTAATAAATAAAAATATATACTGTACACTGATATATTTTGCTATTCAAAAGTCACACTGACTAGGAACTCTTGTACGCACATTCACAATGAGTGACGTACCTGTATATTGAGCTGCACCGAATGGTATCGGGCAGTGAGTTGAGTAGCAGTGACGCTCACACGGCTGCTGATGTAGGGTTCCTCCAGAACCTGCTGGGCCAGAGAGGAGAGGCCGTCCACCTCTGCCTGCCGGGCCAGCACTGCCATCAGACAGCCCTGTCCAAGTCAGACACAGTGATAACATGTGTGAATTATAGTACATTATTCTAGACATTTTTTCCCACATGAAAATATTTTGTATTACACAAATACAAACGTGCTGTTAGGTCTGTATGTTCCCTGTTATTTGTGTGTGTTTTCCCCATATGGGACAGGAAAGGAGACTGTCTGACATCCCAACTCTGACAGGAAGTTTGTTTCCAAGGGAGGAGACCAATTCAGTAAATATTTTTCTACTGTTTTCCTCCAAAGACACATCATGAATGGAGAGTACACAGTGTAAAGGTAGAGTATGTGAGGTGTTGTTGCACAAAACCTCAGGATTTCTCATAACTTTAGTTATTAATAAAAAAAATAAAGTTTCTCTCTGACCTGCAGTTGTTTCAGCTGACTCTCCTTGGTGGCTCTGTCAGATCTCTGTTGTTGCCTGATGTTCGCCATCTTCTCCATCTCCTCCAACCACTGTGCCAGACTCAGAAATTTCTGACCCATCTGCTTCAGCCTGATCAGCGTGGAGCTCATGTGGGTTTGGGTCTCTTCCAAACGAACCTGGTAAGACCCCCACTCTCGCTGAGCAGTGTCCAGGGCCCTATCCTCAATCTGCGGCACGCCCCACGGTATGACCCTCTCTCTGCTGGTCAGCACAGATGACAACAGGGACTGACCGTTCGAGCAGCAATCTTGAAGAAGCTTTTGGAAGAAAACAAAGAGAAACTGTGTGATTTCAGAGTCTTGAGTTGAACCTTTTCCAAAATAAATTTGTGACAGATTACAAATCAACACCTGGAGCTGCTGCAGTGTCTCTTCTATCGTATCCACGTTTCCCTCTGGATGAGTGAGGGAGGCCAGAGTGGTCTGCTCCTGCTCCAGCCAGTCCTCAAACACATGAAGTTCTCTCTGATACTCCTGATGGATCAGAACCAGGCTCTTGGCTTTGCTGACTGCATTCTGCAAACACCAGGTTGGATATTTAAATAACAAATCCATTTGCAAAAGAAATTTAGAGTTTTTAATTTTACTAACTAAGTCACTGTTCCATGAAAACCATTTAAAAAAACATTCCACACTGATATAGATAAATAGATATTTTGTAGTTGTGCAAACAATGATGAATAGAAGGTAAGAGGAACATTTTACAAAACATTCATTCATTATTCAAAAGGCTGCAGAGACAAAACAAATGAGAGCGCATCTGCTTGTTTGCTACCTTGGCCTTTTCTTTCAGAGAGTTGTAGCGACACTGTAGCTGCTGCACCTCCTGCTGGGTGGTGTAATGTTCAGCCATATTGGACCCCTTTGCAGCAATGGTCTCCAGAGGACTGCTGTGACTCAATACTTCTTCATAGAGAAGCTGGAGTTAAAGGTAAACATGCAAACACCCACTATGTTATTAATTCCAGAGAAAAAATAAGGGGAAAATGTGCAAATCTGAAGGACGTTGAGCTGAAATTTTAAAATCACTTTTAAAATTTAATGCATTACCTTGGTTTTCCCAAGGTTTGCAGTCTTGTCTCTCATCTCTGAGTACTGTCTGTCCGAGCAGCTCAGTGTCTCATCCACACGGTCCATCCAAGCCACAAACTGACCAACGTCCTCCTGGTAGCTGGTCCACTGGGACAGTGCACCTTCAAGTTGACTGTGGAAAGAAAGGCATTCAATTAACACTTCTATAACCAAGCTTTTGACTGACATTATACAATTGTCTTCAAAACAATGAAGTGCTCCACAGTTTAACCATCAACTGATACTTTGGTTCGTGCTCACAACCTTTTACACTTAATGGAGGCAGAAAGCAGCAAATCCCATGAGTCCTTGAGGTCCTGGATCTGTTTGCGAATCACTGGGACTCCCTCGACGGAAGTGTTTCTCTGCACGGCTTCTCCCCGTGTTAGCAGCATCTTCAGCTGGATCTCTCTTTCTTGACGAGCAGCCAGTAAAGCCTGCAGACACAGCAAAAACAAGACAAGTCACCTGACAACTATCTTTAGTTCTCCTCTACTCACTTCTACTGTCAGAAAGGTACGCTGCATTCTCTGATGTAATTCCCCAGCCATTTATCTCCCTTCTTACTTCTAACTGTAACATCCGCTCCTCCAACACGCCCTTGTCGGTGGTGGTGGAGTTGCAGGAGCTGAGAACTCTCTGGGCTTCACACACCCAGTCCTGCAGCTCTTTTAGACCCTGAGAGAAAAGGCGGTGTTCCCCAACGATTCGCTCAATCCTGGAGGTTTTGTCCTGTGACAATAATAAATCACAGCACATCACTGAACACCACATTAGTCAGAATAAACAGATAAATGTGTTTGTTGTCTTCATATTGTTCTGTTAATGTTATCAGGCCAGTTGTCTTCCTCACAGCCATCTCTGGAGACTTTACCACCCACTCAGTGAGAACAAAAGCGTTGTGTTGTCTCTGCACTCTCATTTGTTGATCACTATCTATGCTAGTGAAAAGCTACAATGACTGACTAACAGAGGACATTTAATACAATTTATTTTCAATTTCTGTCTTGCAGGGAAGATTACCTAAAAATTGCCCACCACCAGTTAGCCTGGAGAATAAACAAATCACATTCATCATATTTAGAGCACGTATTGTCCTGAAGTACAAACATGCCCCTTTTGTGTGGTCAGTGCAATGTTTTTCACTCTAATGGCAGCTTCAAAAAGGTCAACTTCACCAGCACTGACACCTTTCAGCTCTTGCCATTTCAGAAGTGCCTCGTTGCGGAGAGGTAACCTGAACAGGCATGGCATTTTTGTTGTTGATGAGGCCACGAGCAGGAAGACATTCTGGAGGTTTAAAAGTTCACCCAGGTAAATTACCCTGCATGCTCATCTGCCAAAGGCAACTGATTACGGCAACCATGACTGATGTCCAGCAGAACAATGTATGACACAACATGACAGACCTAACCCAGTGTGTTTCATTGTCCATGTCAACAAAGAAAACACGCACAGATGATACCAAATACCAAAAATATATAAAATATCTTCCAGAAAAAAAGGGCAATATCTTCACTTTCATGTGCAATATTGTTTAACTGTGTTACGGGCAATTACATGACTGTTATCATTTACAGAACCACTAATACACCATGGAACCACATGTGTATGCATGTGTTGACTGGCTGGCCTGCAGTCCAGATCAGTCTTCTGCAAAATGTCTGGCAAACCATGAAGGGAGTTTTCACAAAGAGGACTACTACTAGAGAAATAGCAGCTCCTGTCTTTTATAAAGAAAAAAAATGACAAAAAATCTGTACTGCATACTTTTGTGAGATACCAAGTGGTAAAAAGGTGAAAAGTACTTACAGAGGTGTACTGTACTAGGAAGTAAAACGTTTAAGAAATGTGACTCTGTTTCCTTTTGATAAAGTTTGTTGTTGATTTTGACAGATTGTTCCAGACTCTTATTTCTAGACAACTCTGAAAGACAAAGGGTTACACGTTGTTACCTTGGTGAGGTTACTGAGGGCGAGATACTGCGCTGACAGCTGCGACACGCGGTGGACAAAGCCTTTGCCGGCTGCTTGTCCTTCCCACAGACGGTGAGCGCTTTCTCTCAACCTGCTGAGCTCTGCCTCCTGACCTGCTATCTCCTCGAGTACGCTCTGGCACAGGTATGAAGTCGTAACAGCAGGGGGAGGAACAGGAGGAGGAGGAGTAGATGGCAGGGAGATAGAGATGAAAGAGCAAGAAGATGTTGGGGAACACAGAGGGTAAAGAAGAGAATAGAAAAGACAAGGATTGTGGATGAGAGTTAATTTAACACGGCGTAAAAAGAAGCATAAACTCTCCCTCTAGGTGTTAAGTTTTCAATAAAAACACGATTATTCGCTAAGAAAACACAAAACAGCAACTGATAACTATTCCCATTAAACAAGGCAGTGGTGGTGGTGGGGGGGCATACGAAGAAAAGAATGGACGGAGGATTCTTTTTACCAACATGTAGCGTATTGTACTCCAGGTACTGAAGGGAGGAAATGTAATTGCTTGCAGACACAGACAAAAGGAAACCAAGAGACGTACTCCAGCAGGGGACAGAGTCAATACAAAAATAGCAACAATGATAAGCACCAAGCTTTGTGATGAGCAGGATATATATTTTTTTCCTCTTTTGTCCGTTTTATCTCTGTAGTGCTTTGTGCCTCTCCTTCTTTTTTGTGTCTGCCAATCGTGGCAAAGACTGTTATCACTGCTGCTGCAAAAAAAAAGGCCTTTTAGCCTCGCTACGCTTCAGCTGTGACAGAAGGGGAATTAATTAGATTTCTGGACTTCTCTGACTATTGTGTCAAGACATCGCTGTATTTTGATTCAGTGGTGCTCCACAAATGTAATTAGGTCCATCCTTTTTCCCAGATGATTTCAGATTGCACTTTGGGGATCCATATCTGATGGAGAACTACAAATACAGTATTTGAGTATTCTTAGAAAGAAATGTCCCTAATTTTCAATTGGATTGTGCTGAGAGTGGATATAAGAGACAAGAGACGTGCACAAAAAAGGACTATAAGCGTGATAATATGTCATTTAGAATACACTGGATACTAAATGATGAAGTTGTCTGGATACATCCCAAAACGTTTTGCTTGAAAAGGTGCAATGAAGTACAATAAAACTAACAGATGGTCCCCTTAAATGGCCACAGTGAGTATAAAAGAACTTTACTTTTAGGAGTAATGATGATGGCAGTCTGTAAGAGGGAATCTGTGGGTTAGTGAACCCCAGTGGATTCAGATAAATCTGTCTAGTATGCATGGCTTTATAGGCTCTGAAATACCTGTAGTTTACTGAGCTCCTGTTTCTTGGCAGGAAGGTCATGTAGCCGAGCACTGCACTCCTGAACTCTGGCCTCTGCGCTGTTCAGCCATTCCTGTAGAGGCTCAGCACTGGCCTCGAACTCTGTCATCTGGGACTGCAGGTTCTGGAAATAAATCAGGATAAATATCTCAGCGCAGTAACAGAAGAGATGTTTAATTGTGCATTCCTAACAAATCAATTTTCAGAAAAAATGAATCCATGTAGGACAACAATGCTATCTGAATATGTTTGTTCTACTTTATTACTTTTCAACCGTGCTAACAACTGATTTCTGTACTTTTAGCTATACGAATGTTTGATGTAATATCTGTTTTATTTATTGACAATGATTCTCTCAACAGTGTTTACACAAAGGTGCCAACCAACCTTAAGTGCATCTTCTCTCATCTGCAGGTTATTCATCAGGCTCTTCCAGTCCTCTCTCCCATTCTCCACTTTGGCCTTGATCCCCTCCACCCTGTCCCTCGACACCACTGCCATCAGCAGATCACCACTCACATCCACTGTACTCAGCCTGGCCTGCCCATGTTCCCTGTCACTCAGGAAAAAATGCGGGATTACACAGACAAAAGACAAAAGAGCCGTGTCTGTGTCTGAACTGTACGTAATGAACAAGCACACGGCAAAAAGAGAGAAGGCTGTGAAGAAGAGGAGGAAGAAGCCACGTGAGTGTAACCACAGTTGGGAAGTTTAAATCAATATGATAATAATACCAAAGACCCAGATTTCATTGTCACAGAATCTCACTATACAGAGGGGGAAAAAAGCAGTAATTAGACAGTCATTACTAATCTGATGTAGGTGGGCAACCGAGGGAGGAGGGGTCTGACCCAGGGAGGTAATCACAGTTAAGGAAAGAGCAGTGAGCCTGAAATATGTTGGGGTTTTTTTTTTCAACATAGAGTAGCTTCGCTGTTCCCACTGACAACACACACCCAAACACTCCCCCCAAACCCCTCCCTAAGAAGTGAGTGGATGACAGTAGCGCAGCAGGGACCACTCTACCATCTGTGCAGTCAGCACATCACTTAAACACACCGCTTCTCCACCCTTTACACACACACACACACACACAAATATAGTACAGTAATACCACAAATGGGAACAGACTCTTTCCACGTCCTTGTCGCTTCACTTTTTCCTCTCTTCTGTGCCTATTTACTATCTTTTTCACACTCACGTCTGCCCTTCTTCCTCTGGGAGAGTGTAACTGTAAACCACCAATTAAGTGTGACACAATGGCTGCCCTGGCCCCTCCCACGCCAACCCCTCCTCGAGGTTAAGCCATGTGGAAACATTGTTCTACATTCCTCACCAAGTCAATAATAAATAAAACATGGCCGACTCTGCATTTCTCTCATGTACTTTGAGACTTTCACTGTAATCCTTACAAATGTAGGCGGACAAAGTTCTCTGCACAACAATTTTAAGATTTGCATCTTAATCAAAGCTCAGCTCGGAGCACAGATCCTATAGTTAATGCAGCAGAGTGGTGGACATGGTCAGGTGTCTGGGAAGTAATTAACTGTCTGGTGCAGGGACGTGGGGACGTCCACCTTAAGTGACAAGAACCTGAGTCTCAGCCAGGACTCTGGGGTTCTCTAAAGAGGCTGCCAAACTGTGGCACTTGCCAACCTCCAAAACAGGAAGTCGTAGAGATTACTCAGAAGGAGAAACACATGAAATTTTTCAAAGAGAATGAAAGAGAGACCCCGCAGTGGACCACTCTCTTATCACTCCTGGCCATTTGCCGACATTCAGCTCCTGGAGCCACTGGCAGGTTCTACCTCGACATCAAGCTTACAAGAGAGCGCCCAACAGTGGGCATGTCAACAAAGACATCACCTTGAGTTATCTGGCTTTGAAACACAGCTCACAGCAAAGCCTCAGAGAAGACAGCTTTATGTTTGTTATACATTTTGCTTTTCACTATTTTTAATAATAACTGTTCTTGTTTCCTGGAAACATTATTTAACCAACATTGTGTTGTTCATTTGTTCAGTGAATTTTCTATATGTAGACTGAAATGCATAAACTCATGTCTCTCACCTGGATCCTCTGCAGAGCAATAGAGGCCTCTGTGACACTCTGTGGAACATCAAAGCACTTGGCTGTGCTGATCTTTGCATTGACCAACCACTGCTGGAAGTCTCTCAGTGCAGTGCGAAACCTTTGCTCCAACAAGCGCTCCTTGTTTTGACACTCTCTGGAGGCGCGGAGGCTGAGACTGGAAGATGAGATAAAAAAAAAAAATAAAAAAAATAGCAGAGAACAAATTTATGATAATTACATGCTCAAATTCACCTGAAGAGTTGAATAAAAAAAAGTAGTAAGTGTCTGCTGTCTCCTGCCTGTGTGCACACCAAAACAAAGAGTATTTATGAGCAGATGCTCAGATTCCATACAGAACACGCTGTTCTCACATTGTGGAGGAGGAGGACATGAGAACCAGGCAGGTGGAGAAATGGGTAAAAACGGGTGAAGTGGAAGTAATGTGTCAGGGCAAGACTAACGCAGAGTGGGGGGATGGTGTTGCAGGGTATTGCGTGGGAGGGTGGGGTTGAAAGGCAACATATGAATGGGGCAAGAGTTTACAAGGGTGACAGGACGAAGGATATTAGAGATGACAGAGAGATGGCACAGGATGCTAGGTGGGAATGAGACGATGAGATGTCAGTGGTGCAAAATATGACGACAAATTTCACTTTTGTACAACAAATAGTGGTTCCTTAGTGTATCAGTTAGCCACGGAAGTAGAGCGCAGAGAATCCTGAGTTTGATTCCCAGAGGAACCACACGCTTGATTGGTCTTGTAAGTAGCTTTGGATAAAAGCATCTGCTAAATGGATAAATGTAAATGTAAATAGTCATCAAATGAGATATCTCAATAGACTAAAGATAAAATGATATTTAAAAATAATGATTCCACACATCACATAAGCTGACCACCTACAGTCAATACAAATGGTATATATTTAATATATTTTCTTTACCATTTTTAAAAAAAATTCTTCACCTTGACAGACCAACAAATGTTCTAATAATAAATTATCCCTATGTGGAAAGTAGAAATGGCCAAAACTACTCTTTCTTCAAGACTTTGTAAATAGTCCTTAACGTGACATTTTTGTTATGGAATTAGTTCACACTGGTAACACAAGTTACTCATCAGTCACTTGTCATTTCCCTCACCTCATTTGAGCTTAAACTAGATTTAAAAAAATAAGTAAATTAGAGTTCATGAGATATAGGTCAGTACAGAAATATACAACAGGGCAGGAGTAGGAAAACAAGGTTTTAAAAAAAAAACAGATCTTGTAAATGGAGTCAATGACACACACACTTCTCTCCGACTCGAACACTCCTTAACGAGCACTCACACACACTCTAGCAAGCACAAGTTCAGGTGCACACAAACACCCTTGAGTTTTAATGATGCCATGAGGGTAAAGAAGGTCAACCCAGTGGGGAGGGGGTGACTGTGGGAGAAGTCGTTTTTTTTCCTTTTTACCAGACAAACATGTAGAGTCTGCTATGAAGAGCAGGGGGGGGGGGGATTTACTGCAACACTCTCGCTCCTTTTTGACTCCCTCCCTGTCTTTTTCTCTCTTTCCTCTTTTTTCCGCAATGCTACATGCAGGACAGGTGCGAAGAGCATGCAGGCCAAATCTATTACAGTCTAAACAGCCAGGAGGATGAGGAAGGCTGTAGTTACCAATCAGCAGTCAGAGCCAATTACCCGTCACAGCATCTCCTACACTCAGGTTAACCACACACGTCTGCAGCCCCTCAGGCAAAGTAAGTAGTCAAATTGCCCCGTGCTGTAGTTCATACTTGTGCCTGCCTTAACTGAATATGTATGCTGGTGTTCTTTTGTGTGTTTATGTGTGTTCACAAATAAACAAATGCCAAGTAACTCTGACTCACCTGTGGGCTCAATAGCTGACAATTAAGACATGCCAAACATCAGCATGATAAAAAAAAAGAGTCACAATTCAGATGTGAATCTAATCAAACCAGTAAGACACAAACCAAAGTGGCAACAAAACAACAAGCACAGATGAATGAAAGGTAGTGAAATGTCGCTTAGCAACTGGTGGCTCTGGTGTTCTCACTCTCTCACTCTCTCACCTTTCACCTTTATGTGGCCAACACATGTCAGGGCTTGCCTGAGATGGCCACACACACACACACAAACATACACACACACAGGCTTCACACACACACATACATGCTGGAGCAGGCTGTAAAACTAAACAGGACTCAGCTGGAAGAGCTCAGCTCTGTGGTCGCAGTGATATGGAATGAATGGACAGGTCTGAAACCATCTGGATCTCTGCACTGAGACTCTCCCTGTGGGTTAACAACAGGGCTGGACAAAATGTTATTTTGGAACACTGTTTTAGAGCCATGAAAATGTGACATTAAAGGTAAAATAACACAGGACCACAGCTGATCATATAAGTAATAAGGAAAAACCGTAGCAAAAAAAACAGTCTTCGTCTTTTTATTAGAGCACAAGTAAAAATCCCATAAACAAAAATCCCAGTAGGGAGGTGGTACATTACATGACAAAGTATGCTAAGCTGGTGTTTATATGAAAAGAATAAGAATTATTAGTTGTAGAAAGGGGTGGGGTAGAACTGACAGCAGCCTAAAAGCTTAACAGCGTGAATATTTTAGGTTTTGCATCACGGGTGTAATTTTAACATTATTCACACCAAGGATGTAGTTGTTGAGTTTTCCAATTAGTATTTATATCTAAATACAGTCCGTAGCAGTTGTTTCTACAACAAAACCAACAAAACAGCTGGTACTTTGTTCTGTACTCCACTGGCCAGTCCTGATGACAATAATTGTTTCTGTAAACAGTAGTGAAAAAGGTTTCTTGGCAATCTTTACATTTCAACTTCCTGTTGGAAATCTAAGCACCTCCCGTCTCACACACTCTCGAAGAGTCCACTCACCTGTTGTGCTGCTTTATAACGGCAGTGACCCTGTCTGACTGCTGTCCCAGATCTCTGGAGAATCTCACCAGGTCGTTCAGTTGGCTTTTCAACTTCTCTGCCATTGGCTCTGCACTCTGCAAGCCCTCCAGTATATCCTGTACAACACACAGACATGCACAGAGACACAGAGCGGCAGTCTCAGAGTGTGTGGGTGCATATATATGTGTCAAACAGCAGACAAACATGCAACAGATTTGCTCATCCCCCCCCCCTTCCCTCCAATCTGAGCAGTCATGTTCCTGCTCACACACTGGCTCAGTTCAGTTTTTCATTCCTCACACAGCAGACACACACTTATACTCACAGTGCTGCCTGTACAATACCATTTCTGTTCTTCACGGAGTGTGTCAGGAAGGAGCTTTAGATAATGTCCGACTGCTCTCCTCAGCTTGGTTCACATTCTATACGCACAGTGTCATGAAATCCTGTCCCATGAAATATGTACAAGCTCTTCCTCCCTCTCTCTCGCTCTCCTTTTTTTTCTGACGTATGACCAATAAACAACCCTCCCGCCCTCCTTGTTCTCATGGACTCGTTGCTCTCCTCTCCTTTCCTCCCTCCTCCTTCCCTTCTACTACTTTCACTTCCCTCCCATCTCCACGTTTTCTCTCCCTCCTCCCACTCCTTGCACTTCTTCCCTCTCACACATTTTTTCCTCCTTCTCGTCTCCCATTGGAATTCAGCTGTCAGCCTTCACAGATGCAACGATTGGTTCAAACGTACACACAAATGGGCGCGCAAAGAAAAACAAGGCTGGATGCAGGGGTGGAGGAGGAGAGAGAGAGGGAGAGAGAGAGAGAGAGAGAGGAAGAAGCAAATGAAGCAGAGGAAGGCTCCTCCTCTGCTTCTATCTCAGACCTAAATTGAGGAGAACCAGGGAAAGGCATGGTCAGAGAAGCCTGTTGAGGAGTGTGATGGTGTTCACCCTGACACTGCCTTAATAACAGAGAGAAACAGCAATACTGTAAACATCCTGTGGAGGTCAGAAAGAGTGCCGCAGGGTGAAGTGAAGTAGCAGGAGCATCAGTGGAGCAACCCCTCCAGCCAAGAACCGGGGAAATCGAGCAAATGAGGGACAAACAGGGATGTTTGGGAATGAGGAGATAGTAGAAAACAATGGCTCTGAAACAATGAGCAGAAAATGAGGGAAACTAATGGAATTGTAATTGTTGCTCCATCATCCCAGTAAAGCTGATTTACAGACTAATCTGTTTCAGGGATTTACAAATTGAATGGGTAATTACTGACAGAGAACATAGCTGATTGCAGATGGTGTGAGTCTGTACGATGTGTGTGTACCTGCTGTTAAACACAGCTAATAACCTACATTAAAATTAACATGACACAGTAGCCATTGTCAGCTTTACCAGGCATTGCTTTTTTAGCAAACTATAGTGAGAAAATAAACATTAAATAACAGATGTTTATTCAAAATCAATAGTACTGTACCATTGCAAGCTGCCATCCCTCCACCGCTTCCTCGCCATTGCTCCGCCCCTCTGCTTTAATCAGCTCCTGGCTCCACCTTCTCAGCTGTCCATCAAGTTCTTTCACCTCTTCTTCTAGCCGTGCTGTCAAACACTTGTACTCCTCTTCCGAAGCCGCCGCAGCAGCCAGGGCCCCTTCCAGGCTGTCTCTGGCTCTCAAGGCGGCGCCTTCCCATTGCTCTAAAGCCTGGGACAGCGCCCCCAACTGTCGGTCCATAGCCTCGCAACCTCCTGCGGCTGTGTGCTCCGCCGTGGTTGCTGCGCTGTGTCGCACACGGCTAAGGCGCTCTCGGCCCTCCAGCAGCCGACTCTCGACACACTCCTGGAAAAAAAAAATAGTGATGATAGCAGGGAGACAAAGTTGCTACGGAAACTGTGGCTACGGAAACTGCATCCACTGAAGATGTAGTCGAATCTATTTAAAGCAGCCTACGTAATATTTACGTACAGTGGAGGACCTTTTACATACAACCTAAATTGTACAATTGTGTCTTTTAAAATGAGAACAAACATTTTCATCATGTATGCTAGTCTTCTCCTTACTATAACTATATTATTCCTTCCTTATAATTAGTTTTTACACCTCAATTTATCATCTTTTCTGTGTGAAAAGACAGCAATTTGAAACGTGTTAAAACAGCGACTTGATATTGAAGTGTGAGCAATGAGCTGCGAGGGAATATATTATAACAAGACATCTAATCTTTTAGTGCATGACAGGATATGAACATCAACCCTGAGACCATATTGGGGAAATTAAAAGCAGTGATGCTAGACTGTGTGCACAACAAATTAAAGTTCCTTTTTATTGCAACGGCACAACAAACTCACCATTATTTAGTAATAATTGAGGCCTGTGGGTGATATGAATGGAAGTTAAAATCCCCTTCTAACCTTCTGTGTAATTACAGATCCATGATTTCTCTTTTAAAACTTTTTCATGCAGATAGAAAACAGCTTTTTGGCAAGGTAGGTGTTCCAAGAGGGATTGTGATATTGGGCTGCAAAACATAAAAAAGCCAGAGGGCAATTTAACGTCCCCATACAATTTGCTTTCCCTCAGCGCAGGAGTCCTCTCCGTTTGGATAGGTTCACATTATTCCATCATCAGTTACCTTGGCAACAGATAATGCATATAAACCTGACTGTAAATTCATAAGAGCTCCTCTCATCCCCAGGGCATCATTTAAAAACACACTAAACACTGTGGGGAAAAAAAGCATTGGTTCCTGTTACTCTGGTTTTGATTGAAACTCTTGAAATTAATTCCTTAACAAGAACTTCCCTAACATCCAGGGAACTGCCCACAGGATATAAATTCCTTGAAAGAATACATCACTCAGCACGATGTAACGTGCAAAGATTAATATATTCACCTGTGGCAAGTTTCAAGGCACTGCTGCAACAATAATTTGTCTATTGGCTAAGGTGTGAAAATGACCACAAAGGAAGTGTCAATCAACACTTCAGAATTTGTATTAGTGATCAGAGCATGAAGCAAATTAATAGTCAGAAAAGTAGTTTTTATGACACTTACCCTCACTTCTGATAGTTTCCTTTTGATGGACGTAGAGTCTCCTGAAGAATCAGACCAATGCTGCAGCTCCTCCCCTGCATTCATCAGCCAATCGGTGAGCTCTCTCACTGCCTCTAGGTATTCTTGGTGTTCCAACACTACAGCTTGGGCAAGATGTACTCTCTCCTGCAGAAACATTGTAATCAATGCACATATATATTTAACTGTAAACATATAATCAATGATTGTTCTGCCAGACACGCACAGGTTTTGATATCACATCTATAAAGTCGAGCGTACCTCCACTAGGGCTGTAAGATCATCAAACTGGGCCTGCAGGTGTGTGCGAGCTCCATGGTTGAAGCTGGCATCACCAGTCTTCTTGAAAAGTTCCCTTGCTTTTTCCTCCAAGCTGGACAGTGCCACCTGGTGGTCTTCCAGGTCGGTCAACAGGGCTCTGAGTCTGTCCATCTGAGAAGCCTTTTCTCTGGGCCCAGGTTGGGGTGTGAGTGGAGTACACACCTCCCGCTCCACAACCTCCATCCAGCACCGCAGCTGGGCAGCACTGTCTAAGTATCCTCCCCACTGGGACACGGTCCACTCCAGTCGACTGAGGGGAAGAAGGAACAGGAGCTGAGGATCTTTGATAGGTCATAATAGTGACAGGATAGTGACAGTGACAGGATATTGAGGTTGATGGCCCGTTTTCCCCCAGTGTTGCAGGAAGACATTCCAGACTTTGTGGCTGGAGTGGTAATTTGGTCGCAATGTTAAAGAGGCACCGAACAGAGCTTCTAAAAACGTCATCTTCATAACACATTTTTAGCCTCATTATCAAGCGTTTGAAACACTGATGAACACTGATACACACCCATCATTTTCCTCACCATCTGTTGCCCCCACATGCGTCATAATAATGCCAATATCCACACACACACACATGCACAAATACACACAGGTCCCCACTCTTCACCTGCTCCCCATGCCTCCTGTTATCCTTTTCTCCTCAAATACAAACACATCCCATGTGTTGATCCACAGTCAGCAATCTGCTGTTTAGCCTCTAATGAGATTTTTTTTCTTAAACTGCTATTAATACTCAGTTTATGAACAAACACACACACATAAAAACAGATGCATTTGCATGCTGTGATGCACACACACACAGAGGGGCAATCATTGAATCACACCCATGAATCACAGTAACAGAATGAGACACAAACGTCTAATTAAGTATTTAACCTAATAGTAATTGATGGCAGGGAGACGTCATTTTATTATAATGAAAATAAACAGCATGTTCCCAAGAATGTGATGTGGTTTCTCAGAAGCAGGTAAATGACCTTCTTAACTGTACAAAGGCAAATGGACATTTAAAGATCTGGATGAATTATGTATTTATATTTTACGTGTGTTGAGCTAATACTGGTCAGAAATATTGCTTTTACAAACCACATTGGCATAAATACATAATATTTTTTGCTGATACTTGAGGTACTGTACCTGTGGCAGCTCATTGCTGTTACGAGCAGCGTGGCCCAGGCATCCTCCACTTCCTGGAGTTGTGAGCGTACCACTTCCTGTCCAGCTGCCCCGTAGTTGCGCAGTGCTAACTCACACTTACCCACAGCCATATTAAGCTTGACTTCTCCTTCACCCTTCAATAACAGGATATCCTGTGTAAACAAGAGGAATTTTCACTGCATTTGAAAATGTTTTCAGAGTTGCATATCACAATAATGAAGTTAAACTTAAGTAACAGCCCCATCTGGTGTTCATTCAAAACATTAAAGTATAAAATCTGATTAATTGAAAATCTCTAGTAGATAAAAAACCCCAAGATAGACTGCACTTTTATCTGTATCACAAGTTTTATTTCAAACGTATTGAATTCATGAAAATAACCTCTCCTCACCTGCACAGTCTCCAGCCTTTGCTCCAACTGCTCCTTTGTCCCCATCGTGCTGTCTACTGTTCCCAGTCTCTCCTGGATCTCTTCCAACCAGGCCCAAACTCCTTGGAGGGTCTCTCCAAAAGCTTGGCTCTCCTGGCATCCTCGCAGCCTCTCCCTAACTGTCTTCAGTAAGGCTTGATGATCCATCTGGAGCTGGCCCGTCACTCTGACCTCTCCTCCTGACCCACGGCCTGCTTCAGACAAAGACTGGGCCTCCTGGCAGACACGCTCAATAGAGTCCCTTGCAAAAGAAAACATGTTTTTTTTTGCTTTTGTGTCACTATAAATTAATTAAACGTAATAAATATTTTGCATGCACATACTATAAACTATAAAAGTACCTTCTTTCTAGCAGCTCCTTATGCAGGTTTTCCAGCCTCTGCAGCTCCTCTGTGGTGTCAGGAGATCCATGCTGACTCTCTGCACCAAGAACAGGCTCACTCCTCAGGTCAAGCTCCACCTGCTTCAGCCAATCTCTTAAATCACTCACACAATCATCGAAGCTGATAAGAGAAAAGATATAAAAGGATGAAATACACAACAAAAGAACAAAACACGAAATGACACTTTGCAAATTATTATAAATAAATAAGAAAAAGTGATTGTTTACTTTTTCAGGAGGCCAATACTCTCGTCCAGGTCTTGTTTGATCCGAGCGCAACTGTTCACCAATCTCCTCCACTCTCTCTTACAGGAGGAGAGATGCTCCTGGACTTGTGTTGCTCCTGCTTTGGGCAGATGCAGTTGGAGCAGCTCAGCCTCCTCACAAATCTGGAACAGGCGCTCCTCACCTTCTGATGACTGCTCGGCTAAAACCTGTTCATGGTTGGAAAACAAAAGCAGGATCAGCTCGTAAATAAATCCTATAACATCATTAACAGGAACGTGTCGATCAGCAGTTACCATGAAAGCACACTATGCAACCATATTAACATATTCAACAGTGAATCTACCTTTGTCCTTTGTAATTTGGCTTCAAGTACAGCAACATCTCCTGCCTGGTTCGAACATTTTTTCATCTCCAACTTAAGGTCTTCAACCCAAGTTTGAAAGTCAATGACAAGCTCTGCATAGAGAGAGAACGCACCAGTTACCAGTTGACAAGATGAGAATGTACCAGTTAAAGAAAAGAGGTTGTTAAAACTAGTGGTTACAGGTGGAGAGCAATTAAAACCGTAGGAGTCAGAAGAAGGTGGGCGAGAATGATGTTGTGATGAGGCAGATGGAGAGTGTGGGCGTGGCCGTGTTGTGCAGCGCTACGTTGCCTTGGCAACAAGCCCAAAATGACTCTCCGGAGAGCAGATGTGACGAGAGCAACATTACTCTCCGAGGCACAGGTGTGTGTCTGGGCAATGAGAGCGCATCAACGAGTGTCACTGGAGTGTGGGTTGTACCGGGCGGAGGAAGTTTGCTCTTGGGAAAGATGCTGGATAATCAACATTAAATCTGTTGCACCACTAACATGAACAAATGACGACGTGCCATTTGGTTGTGCACCGTTTCAGTGGGTGATCATGAGGTTTTAACTGTAATTAAATTCCTATTGTCACCTTATCAGTCTGTAAGTAATGGTGGCAACCTGAAACCATTACTTAATCTAGTTAATTAAAAACACATGTATTTACAACTGCTAACCCAGTCATTAATGACAGATTAATTAAACAAAACCAGAAAAATAGTTGATTGGTTGTTACTGTTAAAGTGCTGCTGCAGCTCATCCTCCAGGTTGCCCCTGGTTCTGGCACAACGCTGCGCTACAGCCTCTGTTCGCTTTGCAATGGAGGTGAGTTCGGCAGAGAGGACGGACAGTTCCTGGGTGGGATGCGACCGGCACAGGGCGGTCAGGGCATCTCGGGCTGAGTCCATGTCTGCCCTCTGTTGCTGCACAATACACTGCAAATCCTGTAAATGGAGAGAAACATAAAATACAGTGAGAAACATCATGCATTTTCACAATAAATTGGATTATAACATGAATCCGCTGCCAATTTTTGTTCTTTCTTCTTTCCTTTTCCAGGGATGTATCCGAGTTAAATAAAAGTAATTCAACTCCAATGATGTATGCTGTACTTCAAACAGTGCCGGGCAGAACTCAGATCAGACTTCAGTCACTTTATTTATTTATTTATTGTTTATTTTTATTATTATTAGATTGTTTATGTCCATCCATCCATCTTCGTCTGCTTATCTGTTACCAGGTCACAGGTATTATGTTTTTTTTAAAAACAAGAATAAAATCTGACAGTTTTTCAAGTTGTGCCATATTTACTTACATCCCATAATTTTGGTTTTGCTGCAACATTATCCTTCTGTCATAACTCACGCTGAATGCACTGAGTGATGTTTTTTTAAAAGATGCTGAGCTGTAAAACTACTGGGTTTGATGCCTGATCTCTAAGCTACAGTATATTTAGGATTCCCTTTATTTTGTATTTTGTATGAGATAAAATAAATAAATAAACTATGTTTTTTTAAAGGATGCTGAGCTGTAAAACTACTGGGTTTGATGCCTGATCTCTAAGCTACAGTATATTTAGGATTCCCTTTATTTTGTACTTTGTATGAGATAAATAAATAAATGAAATTATACCTTCACAGTACCAATATCCTCAGGAGATGTAGCTTCAGTTAGGTCAGATAAAGAACCCTCGATTGCTTCCAGCCGGTCAGCCATCTGGGTCATGAAGTCCTCAAGTCGCTGTTTTTGGAAACTGAAGTAGGTCAGAGTATGTTTGGCCTGGTTGAACACGTCCTGTGCATGGGCCATTTTCTTCCTCATGTCTGACTCCAGAACCTGCTTCAATACAATGACATTTAGCAACATTGTACCACTGCTTTTGCAACCTCCTCCTGTGTTTCTTTTCTGCACTGTTCTCACCTGGATTTGTATCGGTGGCTCCTGCAGCTTGGCCTGTTCCTTCAGCTTTGTCACTCTGTCCTGCAGGGCATCCAGTTTCTGCTCCCTCTCCTCAATCCCAGCCTGTGAAGAAGAGTGCAAGGCCACAAGGTCACATGAACCAGTCTGATGTAAGAATATATATATATATATTCATATGCACACTCTCTGACCTGAAAAGCATCAAGCTGTGTCTCTGTCCTCTCCTTGTCACTAAGTTTGGTCACACTGTCTGTGAGCTCAGCAATTGAGCAGGACGTCCACTGGTTGATGTCCTGCTCCATGGCTTTGAGGTCGTCCCACAGAGCCACACAGTGGCTCAGTCTCTCTGTGTTGGTCTGTATTTTTTCTGAGACCTGACCAAGCAGAGAAAACATTAGACAGAATAGATTTCAGTCTTCTAGAGTCTCTTCTTCTTTGTGGTGAGGCTGGTTCTGCCTCTGTCTGTAACGTAGGATGGGCTACATTACCGGGATATGGGAGGAAAACAAGTCCTAATTGGTTTGACAGATGTGTGGATGAGATGTGAGAGTGACTGAGAGAGACAGAGGCAGATAACGTGTCTGAACTTGTTTACATTTCTTCCTCATTACTGACAGCTGAGCAGCCCAATAAATAATAATAAAAGAGCAATAATAAATAACAATAAAATGGTTCATGTTTTTGAAGAGTTCAGTTTAGATGCAATCATTTATTTTTGTTATAGTCAAAGTAAACAAAGCCAAACCCTTTAAATCGTTCATAGTTAATGTTCCAACTCCAGTGTTTTCAATCCATTACAAGGAAAGAAAAGAATCATCTAGGATTATTTCTCAACAAACATTTTTCTGCTTTATTAATAAACAGATACTGCAAATCCTTCTTGCTGCCGAGGCCATGTCTCACCTCCAACCACTGATCTCTCAGGGTCTCCATGTCTTTCTGAATGTTGCAGGAATCAGAATTCGGAATCTTCTCTATTTCTCTCTGCAGATCTTCAGCTGTGCTGATAAGCAAGTCCATGTCTTCCTGTTTTTCTCTCAGCTCAGCCTGGACAGTCTCATGCTGCAGGGACAAGGATGAGCGCAGAGGGTATTACACTAAATAACCACTAGAGGGTGGGATGCTGTAGAAACTACCAGAGAACAGGGATACGTTTATATTTGTATTCAGAATCTGTAAAAATCTAAAAAACATATTTTAGCATTTAATGCAAACTAACAAAAACAATTTTTAATAAACATATTACAAGTAAAAGATGTTTTCTTCTGCTTTGTACGACTAGGTGATAAAAAAAAAACTTTTGAAAACTGAAGGATTCTGACCCGTGTGAAAACCCATTTAGCCTCCTCAGCGTTGTGGTTGTGGTCGGGCAGATTGTGAGCAACAGACTGTGCGTTCTCCACCACAGTGCAGAGCATGGACTTCAGGTGATGAAACTGATGTAGGAGCTCCACCACGACTCCACTCTGTTCCTGACTGCATGATGAAAACAGAGAGAAAAAGAAGAGTCTGGTTTGTGCGAACTGTCATACTGATTTTTACTGTTTTTGTACAATATTTGGATTTGGCAGAGAACATACTAGATTATTAATTTGGAACTGTTAACTGTGTTAATTTGTTTGTGTTTGACGATATTTCCCTAATTAAGCTCACTGCCAAAAGAACTTCACAACTTTTGTACCACATGTTGACCATTTTCAGCGGGACCGAAGGCGTATCAGAGCAAATTAATTTTAACGAGACAAAATCGCAGTACGTCTAAGTGCTTCCCTGTCATCTACGCTCCTTACCTGCTGTTGATCAGAGTCCCGACCTTCTCCCAGGCTGTCTTCACTAGGTCTACCTCCCTGAGAGCCTCCACCGCCAGCTCGCTGTCTCTCTCTGCCAGCTGGCTTCCTTTCTCCTCTAACCACTGCTGAGAGTGCTGCAGGGACTGGAGCTCATCCTCCAGCTGGACGAAGAAACGCAGCCTGGGAGGCATAGATGGAGATGAGAACAATAAGGATTACTAGCCTGATTGCAGGGCAACATTTTACATTTTGATGGGATCAGACTGGGACTTTATCTAAGTGAGGTTTATCTTTCTATTCTCATCGCTGCTTGGAGTAAAAAAACACTTCAGTGTTTTGCATAGATGTTAATTGAACAGATCTAATTATGATAAGTTATCGTTCTTACCTGTTTTGAAAGGCTTGCACAGAGCTTTCTGTCGGTCCCTCGTTCTGCACTTCATCTTCCAGTTTCTTTAAATTCTTCATCACCTCCTCCCTCCTCTCTCTGAAGGAGCTCCACAGTGCACTTAAAGCGTCTGCCTCACTCTGCCTCCACCCTAATCCCCTCTGTACTTTCTCCAGAGCCATTGTGAGGACCACCGCCTCTCCCCTGCAAGACGTCCTTCCCTCAGGGAGATTCACATCTTTGGAGCCCCCCCTCTCTGCCCCACATAGATGCAGGTGGGCTTTGCTGAGCAGACCGTCCAAACCAACGGCCTCGGCCTCAAGACGAGCCACGTCTTTGGCCACGTCCTTAATTTCACAGTGCAGCTCCTCAACTTTGGAACAATCCCAGCTCCCTCTGTCCTCCACTGCCTCACAAAGGCGATGAACAACCTCTGCTGCAGCGCTGCGCTTGATAAGAAAAGTCTTTAATTTAGTCAGACACTCTTTACGGAGGAGCAGGAGCCGCTGAGATTCTCTGAGGGGCTGTAGACAATCCTCCTTCCAGCCCTGGAGCTGCTGCTGGGCCTCTGTGCTGGAAGAGTGGAGCAGCGAAGACTCTCTTTGATGAAGTGTCTCTTTCAGCGTTGCATACGCTTGAAGCTGTGCCTCGTGCTCCTACAGCAAACAACAAGTTTTATTAGACAAATGAAATGACGATCAATACAAACGTGCTTACACTAACAGCTCTAATACGCACAGCTCTTGATGTGACATTGAGGTAAAAATATAACTATAGATTTCTCACCTTCAGCTCCATAAACATAACCTCTGGATCTGCTACATCAACCTTGGACGCGCTCCTCAAGACAGACAGGAAGTTTTCACCTCTCTGGGTCAAAGTCAACAAAGCCTGGTCGAACAACTCCAGCTGTGACAACTGTGATTCCAGCAACATAAGTCTATAAAAGAGGCAGGAATCACAGTAGAAAAGAAAATATATTTCATGATAAATTATATATTTAAAAATTGTATATGAACACAGTTGAGTTTGTTAATGCACAGCTAGATTTTTTTAAATTCTGCCATTTGCCTGTGTGCCAGGTTGCCCTTCACAGCAGTGAATCTCTCCTGAAGCTGTGTCAGATCAACGCTGAGCTCCTGGACGTCAGCTTCAGGTGCTGTGGGATACAGACACAATCCAAGGCTCACAAGGCCCTGAAGGAGGACCTCGTGGGACGGAGTCTCCCCCTGCAACTGCTGTGGGTTTTAATAAATATTATGAATACATGTTACATAAAAATATAACAAGATTTATTTTTTTAATCTGTTTTAAAATGTTCCATAACCAAGGTAATACCTGAATGTTTTGTAGTTCATTCCTAATCTTTATTTTATCTGCAGAAAGAAGCTCGGTGTCTGGACAACACAGGGACTCACACCTGTCCAACCAAGATTTCAGGGAGGAATTCTCTTTTTCAAATCTGTACATGAAAAGATTTTTTTTTATTTATAAGTATAAAAACTGAAGATAAGGAATAAGGAAGAAATAAGTTACTTGATTTTGAGAATAACCTTAATGTGGAATCATGAAAAAGCTAAAGACTGATTTACATACTGTAAAAAAATGAACAACTGATCTGATTAAAGTTTACTGTATGAACAAAGAGTTAAAAGAAAAGCTCATCCTGGGACTCAGAACCACAATTAAAAAGGGGCAGAAAAAACCCCAAAACTGTCCTCTGCACAAAACTGAGACGAGGGAAAATAAATTATATGATAAAGAGAGAGAGAGAGAGAGTCAATAGGGAGTATTTATAGTTAAAGGGGGAAACTGAATTTTACCAATTCTATGAAGCAAAATTAAAGTATTAGTTATTTTAACATCTTCATACCTTTGCCACAGAGACAGAAGGCTTTCCAATAAAGCCTGTTTTTCTGCAGCCTTTTCCAGAAGCTGCACCCGTTGCTTCTGGAGGTTGGACATTTCTTCTTCCAGCTGGCTGCCCTCACCAAGCCTCTTCACCACCGAACACAGAGTCATCAGTCTGGGCTTCAGCTGCTCAGATGTCTGGCAGACGTCCTTGAGGAAATAGAGAAATGTTCTAGTCATTCCCTTGTTTAAAAATAATTATGAAACCTTTGAATCTCCTGGGTGACCATTTATTTTCATAAAACTGTCTTACCATGTGATTCTGGAGGATTCTATAAGTGTCAGTTGATGATGAACAATGGGTGACTGGACTGTCAAGCCTCTCTTTAATGTCACTGATGGTTTTCTTAATCTAAGGTTGAAAAGTATGTTATTAAAAAAAAAAGCGCTGGCAGAAAAATACTTATTTATAACCTTCACAAAAATGGCCCAAAAGTGCCTAAAGATAAGACCTTTATTATCATATTGTGTTTGTAAAATACCTGTTCAAGGTTATCGTTGTATTTTTGCCTGTAGGACGCGTTCTGGTTGAGCTGTCCTTTTAATTGCTCGGCACTCTCCTTCAGCTCTTCCCAGTAACGCCTCATATGGGTGAGGCGTGCTCGGATACATCCTGCCTCTCCAGGGGTCAGAAACCTTGACAAGGCTTCACAGTCTGCCTCCATGAGGGTCAACGCTGACCTTCGGTCATCTAAACCCTTCTCTACCTCCTGGAATAAAGAAAATAAATGTTGGTGATTAAAAATGAATCATGTGTTGAAGAGCTTTTAGTTTTTTGCCCACTAGAACTGTATGAGTTGTGCAGGAAGCAGGCAAGACCCAAATGCAGGACTGGTGCAGGTAGTTTATTTCAAGATTCAAAATTCCAAAAACCAGGAGAGAAGCAGAGGCAAAGTCGAGCTGAGAACACGGACAGAGTTGAGCACAGCAACAGTGTGATAACCGATTACCCCACACAGCAGGAACAGACAGACCTGACAACGTGCAGCAATGGTACTGCTATATTTTCAGTGGGTAAAAAAATGTTCTCTTTAATAACATCAATTGAAATGCAGGACGTAGGCCAACAGCATCCGCTAATAGCCTAATTTCCCCCACTGAGTTAGATTAAAATTTAATCTCATTTCATCTTAATCCTTATAACTCTGAGACCACACTTACACTGTACAGTGCAAACTGAAATTTTGCACTGTTGCACTTTGGGCTGTGACCAGAAATGAGTGTATGATGAAAATGTGTGACCAAATATTACAGGGATTATCTGACAAAAGCAAAAGCTGCACATTAGAAAAACTGGGGGGAAAAGTATCAACGGTAGATGTGAGTCGCCGTGGATTCTCAAACAAAGAAAGTGTGACGCACCTCCACGATAATGATGTTCTTATCTAAAGGATCCATGGAGGACATGGTATCGATGGCCTCGAGGTCTTTCTCCTTCTCATTGATCCAGGAGGAAAGAGTATCTGACTCTGTGTTGAAGCGCTCCGACCACACACACATCATCTCCAGCTGAACGACACTGGAAAACAAAAGATTGAAGGAAAATAACTGCATAACCATACATACTGTACTATCAAGGTCACACAAAAACAACTGTTTATATGACAAATAATAACTTTATGACGAGAAAGATAAATGATTACAGACAATATAACTTACTTCTTGCTGAGTTGGTCCTGAAGTTGTGTGACTGCCTCTTTAGTGGATCGAGCCTGCTTCAGGAGAAAGGTCTGGTTCTTTGGACCAAGCTGGATATCAGCTGTCTTCTCCAGGAGAAGATCAGCTCTGATGCAATATTCCTCAATCTTGGTGAGGATCTCCTTCAAAGAGACAAACATACAATAAACAAAAAACGATGGAGTATTTATAATAGTAAATTTGAAGGCTCTTATTTTTCATATGACCGGAACAGGAAAAAAAAAGCATGCTTGAACCCGGTGAGAACATGACTGTATAAAAATATGGCAGAGCGGCTCGATATACATTCCCTTTAAAGTGTTAATATTGACAGACCCCAATAAATTCCTTGATGGATATCAAAACATAATTACACACACACACACACACCTTGTGGCGCTCCAGTGACCCCAATAAATTCCTTGATGGATATCGAAACATAATTACACACACACACCTTGTGGCGCTCCAGCTCAGTCTTCAGTCTGTCCAGGTTGTTAAAAAGAAGTTCTTTGTGTAGTTCATTGCTGGTATTGTTCATAAATCCCCTCACTGTTTCTCTCTCCCCTTCAAAAAGCTGCCCGGAGTTTATGCTGGCCTTGATGATAAAAACAACAAAAGAAAGAGAAAATATAAAAAAAAAATAAAAAAAATTCAAAGTTCACATAACAGGTGTCTTTGTTTTGGTTTTGTTTCTTGCGTAACATTCCATCTCTGAGTTGACTGACTTATAGTAGAAACAACCTCTTGTTCAATAAAGACACACAAAACAAATAGACCACTTGCAATCAAGGGTCAGTTTAAACCAATCGATGATTATGGCAGTGGTTTGGTGGTTAATCAATGACACAATCACCAACGAGTGGAACACAGGCCTGGTCCTACCTGCAGGTTGTGCTCTTTTGCCCCTGATTTACAGTCAGCGTCTGTGAAGGCTCCCTCCAGTTCTACCAGAGAATGACTGAGTGCCTCTCCTTTCTGCAGCTGCCGGCAGTGGGACACCAGAAGCTCTGCTTCTCTTCTGTGGGCTTGTAGGCGCTTCAGATGTTGCTATAAAAACCCCGACAGATTAAAAAACAAAAAAAGAGGCACAAAGGAAATACATAAAATAAATACATTCATTCATTGTATATACATATACATCCAAATTCTTTTTGGATGTGCTGTATATATTGGAGTTTTTGTTTAGCTTGGATGAAAAGTCTCTGCACACACCTGGTGAATATAGTAAAGATGCTTCGCCTCCTCCAGATCCTCAGCTTCAAGGATCCTGCTGGTCTGCTCCTCAGCCTCTGTCTGTGATTTCAGGACCTCCTCCAGTGCACCACGCACCTCCTCCCTCAGCTCTTCATACTGGAACATAGCTGTTCCCTCTTTATCCCACTGTAAATAAATATTAATCTAAAGTCAATCCTAAATTGCAAAATCAGTACAGAAGACTCTTTTATAGATATACAGTAATTGCCTAAAATGTACCTGATGTAGTGTAGAAAACAGTGCACGCAGGTCAGTTGAGAGTTTGGCCAGAGCTGTTCTTTGCCTCTGAACCTCCACTTCAGAGCTAACCTCGGACAGAACATTAAGGCGGGTTTTGAGCCATAACAGGTTTTCCTCATGGGCGTCCACAGCTTTCTGCAGGGCCTGAAAACAAAAGAAAGGATTAACAAAAGAATACAAAAAAAGTGTGTGGAAAAAAAAGCTGTGCTCCCCTGCAACATAAAGTAATCTGTGCTCACCTGAACAGCAGCATCCACTTGATCTTGATGAGAGGAATTTCTCGCTGTCTCTCTCAGGAGCCTCAAGTGACTCCTCTTCGATGAGACCCAATCAGACAGCTCACAAAACCTTTAAGAACAAAGCGACTACTTCAAAAACCTCTCCAGTGGTGAAGAAGAATGCTACAGAGGTTGAGGACTGTTGTGAGATGATTGT